TGGGATTTATTTAAAAAGCGGCTCGATGCTGTGATCGAGGGAAGGTCGGGGGGAGGGTGTTTTCTGGAGGGATGAGATCAGATAAGCTTGATCCAAACCGATCTTGTGATGTTGTTTGACAGAAGCAGGTGATTGCGGTGTGCGTGTCATTATGTTGCAACAATGACAACTGTTCCATCTCTGATATTCACGTTCAGTAAGTGGCCACAAAATGGGGACTCTGGACCAATATCACCCGATGGAGAGTGGGAGTGAGGAGGTGAGGAGGCCCCCAATTCCTGCGGTCCGGGTGATAATCAATGGTTACCTGAACCTGTGCAATGGAAAGAAACACCCTGTGTATCAGGTTCAGGTCAGAGCTCCTCACAAATCCTTCATCACCAGAATTCATGACAGCCGGCTGAATGATCGCAGGATCTTTTACGTGAAATTAAACAAGATCAAGAACTCGAAAAAAAAAGCAATTTCGTGCTCCAGGGTGGACAGAAGTTGCTGCTCCCGAGGGCTCTGGCAATCCCTCATCCCACTGGATGATTTCCTTTACTGGTACTGTTTCCATTTACTCACCATTACTCCTCACCAGTCACAACTCCTCACCATTCACTACCAATCACATCAGACTGTGGTACAAACAGTGTCACAGGGTAGCTGCGAGCTGTGTCTCTCACAACCACCAAATAGTATGTGAAGTTGTTTCACAGGTTAATAACCCTGTGCAGAAAGGAACAGTGATTGAGGCCAAGACAATGGACACAGGGAGGAGGGTGAGGGTTGTGTTCTGGAGATGATGAAATCAGATGGGTCGAAGGATCTTCTTCATCCAAAATGGTGAGAGGTGTTTGGGGAGATCTCACAATTAATCTTATGTAATACACAGAATGGCCACTGCAGTGTTACATGCTGGAACAGGACAGTTACAGGGGTGGATACAGAGTAGTCACAGGGGAGTTACAGGAGGCACAGGACAGTTACGGGGGTGGGGGGGCAGAGGGCAGTTACAGGGGGGCACAGGGCAACTGTGTCACAACTCACAACTTCTCACCATTCACTACTGGGGGTCACAGGGGAGTTACTAGGGGGCACAGGGGAGTTACTGGGGGTCACAGGGGAGTTACTAGGGGGCACAGGGGAGTTACTGGGGGGCACAGGGGAGTTACTAGGGGGCACAGGGCAGCTGTATGTGTTTAATGGCCTCTCTCATTGTGAAGCAGCCATACGGAGCATGTTGCAGTGAGAAGGTTTTACACAATGGCGCCTGAGGAAACTCTGCTGGATGTCGTTCTGGAGCTGGTGGATCTGGCAAAGCAGCAATGGGGAGCATTCAGTCAGGGAGCTGTCCTCCTGACTGCCCCCCCCAGCCCTCCACCCCGGGAAGCACCTGTAACTTAACCACCACAGCTTCACTCGTTCACTCACTAAAACCTGAACCACAATTAGTGATTGCCAGACAATCTTTTTCAATTTGAGGAAAACCATGTCAGCAACTTCATTTATTGGTCACAGAATACAGTGCAAGCGGAGTACAAGGGCATCTCATCACACAGCGGGGAACAGTGGATGGCAAACGCTCGTGTTGTTTAGTAAAGTGACTGTTTGTAGTGAATAGGACAAAACTTCCGACAATGTAGCATGTAAATAGAATAGTGTTAGCACTCACTCCATAGTTGTCTGTGGGATGTTGCTGTGCACAAATTGGCTGCCACAGTTACTACACTTTACAAATATTCTGTGAAGTGTTTTAAGATGTTTCTATATCAAATGTCAAAATATTATTCTATGCTGAGCAACATTGGGATGAGAGAGAGAGATGGGGTGCTGGGGAGAGAGGGTAGCCTACATCACCCTCTCCTACCACGGCCCCCACCCTACACTCCTTTGCCCCCATCTCTCTCTCCTCCCTTCCTCCGCCATCATCCAGATGAACCTGCTGCTTCAACCCCATTCCCTGGTCACTCAACTCCTCCTTCTCTGCCCACTGCTGGGTGACACAATCAACCAGTTCCTCTCCGCAGGCTCTGTCCCACTCACCCTCAAAACCACTGTCATAACTCCTTAAAAAACTACCCTCAATCCCTCCAACCTCACAAATTTCACACCCATTTCAAACCTGCCCATCCTGGCCAAAATTTTGGAAAGCATTGCATATCAACTTTGCTCACACCTCTCCCTCCATTCCCTACTTGGGAATAGAGGAATGGTATTGGAGCAGACAGCCCCAGCACAGACACAATAGGATGAATCTCATTCCACTTCGCAGAGCTGGTGCAGAACAGCAGTGTCTTGCGTAATTTCCAACTGCCTTTCAAACCTCACATTCATGATGCCCTGCTCAGCTTTCCTCTGTAACATTGCCGGCATCCGCCATTCCATCTCCCCTCAGGCCCCCGAGACTCTCACTCTCACTTTCCATGTCCATGCTTGACTGCATCAACTCTGCTCACCAAACTAACCAGCTCTTCCCTGAACAAGCTGCAGACTATCCAGAATTCTGCAGCTTGCGTCCTTTCCTGCACAAGGCTGTGATCACCTCCATCCTTGCCTAGCTCCACTGGCTCCCCATCCCCCAGTGGAACGGGTTCCTGCCCCACCCGACCTTTGCAACCTCTTCAAACCCTACTGACACAGCTTCTTCCTCCATTCAGCGAGCACTGCTCTGCTTCACGTTCACCACCTGATCACCCCACCATTGGCAGACTGCCTGCCTGAAGACTTGCCTCTTTGTGAATTTGGTCATACTTGTCCTCCGCACCCTCCACTTTCCCATTTCCAGTGATAATTCGAGAAGTCTTTCTGACATGAAAGGTGCCATATACATGTAATTTGTATTGTATTTACCATATTATCTCCTGGTGAACTGTTTAGGTGTGTCTGAAGAACTAAAAAACTTGAGAAATTTCACCTGGTCCGAAATCACTCTTAGTATTTCAGGGTTGGCAATTTTGCAGTCGGCCGTAGTTAGTTGAATCAGTCTCAACTTTGAAGCTGGTTTTCTGTGGTTAGTCATTCCTATGTATTTTTATAAGTCCACACCTATTTATGAATGATATACAGCGTACAGGCCAAAAAACTTTCAATTGGTCATTCACTTCATGAGCTTGATATTGCTGTGTGTAAATTGGCTACCACGGTCACTACACTTTACAGTAAATGCTGTGAAAAGCTTTGAATCTTTTTCCTGATGTGAAGGCCACGATAACCGATGCAAAGATTAATTGATGAAAGCCTTGACTGGATTTAAAAGTGCAATTTCTACCTTCACATCCCCAGCATGCATTTTTATAATAATAATCCTTCCACTTTGCACAGAACATTTCATGTCAGGAGGATATCTCAAAGTGCTTCACAGGATTTACCGTAAAGTGTGTTTTGTGGGTAAATGCAGCAGCCAATTTGCACACATCCCACAAACAGCTATGAAATGAGTGATCAATTTTATATGGGAGATTGTCGGCCAGGAAACTCTCTTCTCTTTTTGAATAGTGCCATGGGATCTTTAACATTCACCTGTACAGGCAGATGGGACCTCGGTTTATCCCTCTAGGGCCCTTTCTGTCATACTCTGTCTAATTCTCCTAAAAGCTATGAACTCTGCCTCCACACCATCCTCGGCAATACGTTCCACACCCCAACTTCTCTCTGAGTGAAACACACCCTCCCACACTCTCCTTTCCCTGCGCTTGTGGCATTATATAACTATCCTCTAGTTACTGACTCCCCTATTGATGGAAATAACTTCTCCCTATTACCCTAACAAAACCCCTCATCATTGTGTCCATCTCTATTAGGTCCCCCTCAAGCTTCTCTGATCCAATGAAAACAGACCCAACTTCTCCAATCTCTATTCATAACTGTAGACATCGAGCATCATTCTTTTAAACCTCCTCTGCCCCTCCCAATTTGATGGAGATAGTTTAAGATATTGGAAAGGTTTCAAAAAGTAGGAGTTTTGATAGCATTGAATTCAGATTGTGAAGAGGGCAGTAAAAAGAGGGGGGCAAATCACAGAAGCAGGCCAGGCTGTGATTTGCCAGTGGTGCTCTAACAGCCAGAAAAAACTGGACCAGCACATACAGGTGATAATAATAATAATCCTTGCATTTGATGTAGTGCTTTTCACATCTTCTAGACATCGCAAAGCGCTTCACAGAATATACTGTAAAGTGAATTGACTGTATATTTTGGGCGAAATGCAGCAGCCAAATTGCGCACAGCAGTGTCTCACAAACAGTCGTGGATTGGAGTGACCAATTTATTATTATTTTTTTTTCTTGTTATCACACGTATGGTGTAAGGAAACTTGCCCAAGGTTTTGACCTGCCTGGAATCAAACCCAGGTATCTCGCTTGAGAGGCGAGTGCTCTAACCACTGAGCTACAGGACTCCACGATGGGTATTGGGATTAGGGTTGATTTCCTGGAGGAGCAAACACCAACAGGAGAAATGGTGTGAATGGCCTTGTGTGTCATATTGGTTCTACAGCCTTCACCTGACCTGAGACACATGATGGACTGCGTGTAAAGATTCCCACATGGGACAGCCTTCAATGAAACGGAATAGCCCTACGCCACCCTTTGGTGGACGGGAAACAAATAGACGTGAGATGAATGACCAGTTTATTGGTCGACACAGTAAACTCTCTCTTTTGGGATCTTGAACATTTTCTTGACAAGCATACAGGACCTCAGCTTAACATAAAGAACATAAGAAATGCTTGACGAAAAAGACCAAGGGAAGGCCCATCTAGTTTGCCTTCCACCTTCTTGGCGGTCGCATGCACATATGTCCCAAACTACCCATGTACTATATCCCATGTTATTCCCTAAAAGTATCTGTGTTTGAAATAGGAATAACATCTCAGCCTCAGGAAAACATCTCTATGCCTACCCCCACTCTAGACTGTAAGCTTGTCACGTAAACCCACAACCTTTTGATCTAGAGACGAGGGCACAAACAACTGAGCTTAGATGACACCAGTCTGATAACTGTGAAAGACTCCCTCGGTTTGAAAATCACAGTGACTTTTAGTCAATTTAATAATTCTTTTTCTTCGTGCAGTGAAATAGTCTTGGTTCTGTGGTATGGGATGGTTTAGCAGCCTCAGCTCTCCAGGAAGGAGGTGTATGACCAAAGTAAAAGTGATCTGCAATAAACACTGAGTGCTGGCAAAGACTGGTATACAATATTGGGTCAATGCCACTAAGCCCATCTCCATTCTGTTGTGAAGTCTGTTGTGGAACATGTGCAGTCTCTCAGAGAGAACTCCCAGACTGTCAGCCCAATGCCTCAGGCCGATCAGCTTCTTTCCTCGATAACCTGTTAAGCAGATTGTTTCATTCTTAAACCCAGCAATTGGAGAGTCCTAATGAAGAAAGCAGGCAGAGGAGCTGTGATTACAGTCTCTGAGCTCTTTCTGCCACACGCTGGGATTGAGAATCTGTGTAAGTGCAGGTGAAGCGGCATTCGGTGCATCTGCTCCCGGCGCAAATGCAGCTTCTGTAACAAGGCCTCATCCAGGACCTGAGAGACAAGAATGTCAACACAAAGTGAGGCTTTACTTTTCATCTTGTCCCCTCCCTAGAAAGACAGAGGCTGGCAGCAACCATGGCTGCCTTGTGCCCACCCCCTCTCCTCACCCACAGTCCACCCCCTCACCCACTGCCTACCCCTCACCCACCCCATCACACACACCTCACCCACTCCCTCACCCACTGCCCACCCATCACCCACTGCTCACCCCCTCACCCACTGCTCACCCCCTTACCCACTGCTCACCCCCTCACCCACTGCTCACCCCCTCACCCACTGCTCACCCCCTCACCACCCAGTAACTGTGCCTCCTGTCCCACATTAACCCTGACTTTACTTACCTGAGTCCGGGGAACAGCCAGGTCAACTGAGAAGAGGACAGGAAGCCCCAGAACCCGTCCCACTCGAGAGGAATAAACATGATCTCCGAGAACGGTGCACAGCTTGAGGGTAAGGTGAACCTGCAGCAGGTTCTGAAAGGCTGGAAGAAAAAAATCCTCAATTATCATTCAAACTTGAATGTAACCTGGAGCTGTGTTCGGCAGCCATCCGTTACTTGGGAGTCCTGTAGCTCAGTGGATAGAGCACTCGCTTTACAAGCGAGAGACCTGAGTTCAATTCCAGGCAGGGTGAAACCTTGGGCAAGTTTCCTTACTCCACACGCCTAATAATAATAATCCCTCCAAAAACAATAATAAATTGGTCATTTTCAATCTACGACTGTTTGTGGGACACTGCTGTGCGCATTTGGCTGCCACGTTCGCCCACAAATATACAGTCAATTCACTTTACTGTATATTCTGTGAAGCGCTTTGGGACGTCTAGAAGACGTGAAAAGCGCTATATCAAATGCAAGGATTATTATTACTTGCTGCACACCACTGAGACGCACACACGCTGATGTTGGAATGAAACTTAAACTGGATACCATCTCAACACTGTAAATCCTGGCTCATCCACAGCTGCACTAAATAACCTTCAGTTCATACACAACCAGCCTCTTAATAATAATAATCCTTACATTTGATACAGTGTCTTATCATGGCAGGAGGACATCTCAAAGCATTTTACAGGATTTAAGAGTAAAGTGTAGTGACTGTGTGTTTTGTGGGCGAACACGGCAACCAATTTGTATAACGTTCTGCAAACAGCCAGGGAGTGAATGACTAATTTTATTTGGGGGTTAGCCATAACTCCGAATGAAGCTCTCCCTTCTCTTTTCGAATAGTGCCATGGGATCTTTAACATCTGCCTTTAAAGGTGGTTTAACGTTTCATCTGATGGATGGTGCCTCCAAAAATGCAGCACTTCCTCCTGCACGGCATTGGATTGTCAGCTGAGACTGTGAAATCACAGTCCACATATGGGGCTTGAACCCAGAGCCATCTGACTTGGAGATGAGAGTGTAACCAACCGAGCCAAATGTTGCTGTCTAGCACTGTCTCCCCAGGCTCTCCACTGATGGGCGGGCAGTAGTTTCACAGCGACTGAAATACTCACTTGTGAGTGGCTGAAGCTGTACCAACGCACAGCCATTGGCAGCGTCCAATACCCGGTACCGAGTCACTGCCTTCTTCACCTTCTTCCTCTCAAAGTTTCCTGCAGAGGGATTGAGCACCGGCACTACCTGTGGCCACACAGTCAGTCAGTCAGTCACACACTGTCGGTCGGTCGGTCAGTCACATACACGGTTGGTCGGTCAGACACTGTCAGCCACACAATGCCAGCCAGCCACACACTGCCCGTCAGTCACACACCGCCTGTCAGTCACACACCGCCTGTCAGTCACACACCGCCTGTCAGTCAGTCACACACTGCCTGTCGCAGAGAGGAAATAAATGGAATAAGTACCATAGTCTGCTCCCCGAGGCTCTGTTGTGTCAGTGCAACACTGATCTCCCCCATCGCAGGTTCGGGAATGCCCACCGTCACTGCACTGTAAGTAAACAAGCAGAGAATAACCGGACGGGCCTCCGCATCCCCAGGTATGAGTACTCCCTGGCCCCACCCCACAGCAAAATATGGGTAAAAGGAGTTTAATGAGAGTGACCTGAGTTGTTTTATATGACTGATATTACGACTGTATTGATTTGAAACCACTGCTGCAAGATTCCTGATTTCAAGGGATTCAGATATCTATTACTAGATTGTGTATAATTATGTATTGATTACCAGTAGCTCGTTAATGCTGTTTTCTTCCCATCACGCCTGGCGTAGGCATTCTCAATGCTTTGGGTGGTTTGGTGACATGTGGAGAGCAGAACCAGGCCCGAATGTTCTCTGTAAAGAAGCAATCAGTAACATTCCAGCTCACACAGCAGCTTCAGTAACAATACATCAGAACAAACATTTATATAGAGCCCTTCACGTCTGAAAGCTGACACTGCTGGCTGGGCACCTGAGCTGGGTGGGAGACCAAGGAGCCCGGGAGAGGAAAGATGTCTGACAGCATAGTCAAAAGCACCCACAGTCATGAATAGCAACCCTCTGTTCCAATAGACTATTGATCGCCAAGTGACATGGTCTTCCTGCCAGTTTGGATGGGGGGTGGGGAGCAGTCTGAAAGCAGGATGATAACGACCAGCTAACATGAAGAAAGATAAGGAGCCAGTGATGTTCCTCCTTCTTGAAGGTCAGGAAATAATAATTCAGAAACCTCTACCGAAGAAATGACTGACAACCATATTAAGCTGTCACTCAAAGATCACATGAACTTCACATCAACTTCCAGATATCACAATTTAAAATTTGTATAGCGCCTTTCATGTCCGAAAGACGTCCCAAGGCGCTGGACAGTCAGGGATTTGGACCCACGCAGGGGAGGTTGAGATCAGGGAGGGTTATACCCTGATCCTGATCCCCAGCTCGGGTCCGAAACACTGATTGTCCACCGCCTTGGGACATCCTCGTGACATGAAAGGCGCTATACAAGTGTAATGTTATTGTTTGGGAAGTTCAAATATACAGTGGAAGCTGTCAAGGGAATTAACCTGAACAGCTGCTTGTGAACGTCTCAGCTCCACCCACCCATTCACAAGCAGTTACAGCTGTCAATCAATTGCGATTTGACTCCTCCCCAAACTTGTTCTTTCCCATTCCTTCACAGAAGGCCCGAGTGAGGACATTCAGTGGCCACCAGCGCAACATTTTGCCCAGATTAACTGGATTTTGTCCGAATCAATCGGTATATTTAAAACTGGTGAAAAATACAAATGAATCCGGGCCGGATGTGTTTGATTTACCCAGATGGAGTCCGAGGTTAACCAGCGTCTGCCTAAAGCGGATTCTATTGTACTAAGGAAAGTAACATCCATTCCAGTGTAACTTGTCACTGTTATCACTGAAAACAACAAGATTACATTTGTAAAGTGCCTTTCACGTCGGGAGGACGTCCTAAGGCGTTGGACAGTGTACAGCATTTCAGACCTGAGCTGGGGTCAGGGAGGGGAAGGGAAGGGGGTGACCAATGACATGGTCGAAGAGGAAGGTTTTGAGGCGGGACTTGAAGGAGGCTAAGGAGGGGGCGAGGCGGAGTGACTGGGGGAAGGAATTCCAGAGGTTGGGGGCAGAGTGGCTGAAAGCTCTCCCGCCAATGGTGGGGCGGGTGAGTCAGGGCACATGGAGCAACCAGAGCCAGCTGAGCGGAGGGAGCGGGCGGGTTGGTATGGGGTTACCAGGTCACAGAGGTAGGGTGGGTGAGGCCATGGAGGGCTTTGTAGGTGAGGACCATGATCTTGAACTGGATCCTCTGAAGGATAGGGAGCCAGTGGAGTCGGGTGAGAGTGAGAGAGATGGGGTCACGGAGTTTGGTGCGGGAGAGGACACGGGCTGCAGAGTTCTGGATTATCTGCAGTCTGTGGAGGGAGGAGTTGGGAAGGCCGACAAGCAGAGCGTTTGCATAGTCGAGCCTGGAGGTGATGAAGGCGTGAACAAGAGTTTCATTGTCCTGAGGGGTGAGGTAGTGGCGGAGTCGGGCGATGTTACGGAGGTGAGGGAAGGCAGAATGGGTCATGGCTTGGACGTGGGGAAGAAAAGACAGTTGAGGGTCGAGCAAGACACCGAGGTTCCTGACTGGCTGGTGAGGTGTAATGTGCAACCATGGAGGTTGATGTTGCCAGAGCCTGAGGTGCTGGTGTGAGCCAATCAGGAGGGCCTCAGTCTTGTTCACATTCAACTGTAGGAAATTTGTCCTCATCCAGGACTTGATGTCCGACAGACAGTCTGTCAGGACAGCAGTGGTCCTGGAGTTGAGGGTGGGGGCAGAAAGATAGAGTTGGGTGTCATCTGCATACATATGGAAGTTGACCCCATGTCTGCAGATGATGTCACCAACTCAGTAACTACCTCTATTGACTGATCTGAACTGTAATAACCAATAATAATTATTATTAATAACAAACCAGATATTATAAAGAACCAAATATATTGTACATAGGATTATTGATGTGACTATCCCAAGTGATTGCAACATAAGAAATAAGGAACTTGAGAAAATCAGGAAATATATCGATTGACAAATTGAATGCAGAAGTATGTGGTAGGACTGAGCCAGGCTGACACCCGGTGACTGAGCCAGGCTGACACCCGGTGACTGAGCCAGGCTGACACCCGGTGACTGAGCCAGGCTGACACCCGGTGACTGAGCCAGGCTGACACCCGGTGACTGAGCCAGGCTGACACCCGGTGACTGAGCCAGGCTGACACCCGGTGACTGAGCCAGGCTGACACCCGGTGACTGAGCCAGGCTGACACCCGGTGACTGAGCCAGGCTGACACCCGGTGACTGAGCCAGGCTGACACCCGGTGACTGAGCCAGGCTGACACCCGGTGACTGAGCCAGGCTGACACCCGGTGACTGAGCCAGGCTGACACCCGGGGACTGAGCCAGGCTGACACCCGGTGACTGAGCCAGGCTGACACCCGGTGACTGAGCCAGGCTGACACCCGGTGACTGAGCCAGGCTGACACCCGGTGACTGAGCCAGGCTGACACCCGGTGACTGAGCCAGGCTGACACCCGGTGACTGAGCCAGGCTGACACCCGGTGACTGAGCCAGGCTGAAGCTACTTACTTGCTGCTTGCTTTCACTATGTGCAGCTCCTGCGCGAGAGATAAGCGTCGCTGAACAGCAGACAGCAGAGAGGTCAGACACAGGTCATCTTTACCTGACAAACAAATAGATCTAGGGTTAGAACTTCCTACACTAACAGAGCACACAATTGAATCAGAGTAGCAAACGAAGCTTGATTCAGAAATTATAATTACACACTAAAGAATTAAACTCAAGGAGTCTATCACCAGTTTGTATGTGTATGTGACAGTGACACCCTCTGTCACTGAACTCATCCTATCCCTAAAACCAACCACCTGCTCCCTTGACCCCATCCCCACTCCACTCCTTATCTCCCAGCTCCACTTTCTTGCCCCACATATCACTGACATCATCAACCTGTCCCTCTCCTCTGGCTCTGTCCCCATTCCATTAAAAACTGCCATCATCACGCCCACCCTGAAAAAACCCTCCCTTGATGCGTCGCAGCTATCAAGCTACCGGCCCATCTCCAACCTCCCCTTTCTCTCCAAGGTCTTGGAAAGAGTTGTCGCCTCCCAACTGCGCTCTTTCCTCTCCACCCATTCTCTTTTCGAACCCCTTCAGTCAGGTTTCCGTGCTGCTCATAGCACAGAAACTGCCCTGGTCAAGGTCACCAATGATATCCTGACCACCTGTGACCAGGGCTCCCTCTGCCTCCTCGTCCTCCTCGACCTATCGGCAGCATTCGATACGGTCGACCACGCTATCCTACTCCACCGCTTGTCCTCCCACCTCAACCTTCAAGGCACTGTCCTTGAATGGTTTAGGTCGTACCTTTCTCACCGTCTTCACTTTGTCTCGACAAATGGCTTCTCCTCCACCCCCCGCACTGTCTTGTGCGGTGTCCCTCAGGGCTCTGTCCTCGGTCCCCTCCTCTTCACCCTCTATATGCTCCCCCTCGGTGACATCATCCGCAGACATGGGGTTAACTTCGACATGAATGCGGATGACACCCAACTCTACCTTTCCTCCTCTACTCTCAACTCCACGACCACCGATGTCCTGACAGCTGTCTGTCCGACATCGAGTCCTGGACGAGAGTCAACTTTCTTCAGCTCAACGTGCGAAAAACCGAGGCCCTCCTGATTGGCTCACGTCAGCGCCTCCGCACCTCAGGCGCTGACACCATCAGCATCCAAGGCTGCACTCTCCACCTCTCAAAGCCAGTCAGGAACCTCGGCGTTTTGTTCGACCCTGAGCTGTCCTTTCTCCCTCACATCCGCACCACAACTGGCACCGCCTTCCACCACCTCCGGAACATCGCCAGATTACGGCACTACCTCACCCCTCACGCTGCTGAAACCCTGGTTCACGCCTTTGTCACCTCAAGGCTGGACTATGGGAACTCTCTCCTCGTCGGCCTTCCCGCCACCTCCCTCCACACTGCAGGTCATTCAGAACTCTGCAGCTCGTGTACTGTCCCGCACCAGGCTTCGGGACCACATCACTCGCACCCTCGCTCGCCTCCACTGGCTCCCCATCCCCCAGAGGATTGATTTCAAGATCCTCATCCTCACCTACAAGGCCATTCACGGCCTTGCTCCCTCCTACCTCTCCAACCTACTATCCCCCTACCTACCTGCCCGTACCCTCCGTTCCTCTGGCTCTGGTCTGCTCCACGTCCCCCTCCCCAACCGCCCTACCATCGGTGGTCGGGCCTTCAGCCTCTCAGCCCCCAGGCTCTGGAACTCCATCCCCCAGTGCTTTCGCTGCTTCCTCCCTTTCCTCCTTCAAGGCCGGTCTCAAAACCTTTCTCTTTGACCGTGCCTTCAGCTCCCCTCTCGACTCTCTTCCTCCTCCTCGCTCTCTCCCTTCCCTCCCTTCACCCTGACCATTTCCCCCCTCCTTGCTCCCTCCCTTCCCTCCCCTCACCCTGACCATTTCCCCCTCCTCGCTCCCTCCTTTCCCTCCCCTCACCCTGACCATTTCCCCCCTGCTCGGGTCATGACCCAACTGTGCAGCGCCTTGGGACGTCCTCCTGACGTGAAAGGCGCTTTATAAATGGAATCTTGTTGTTGTTGTTGTTGTACGTAGTATTGTATTTGTGTGTGTGTGGTATGTATTATGTGGGGTGTGTGTGGTGTGTTTGTGTGGGATGCGTATGTGGTGTGTGTGGGTGCATCTGTGTGGTTTGGTGTGTGTGGGATGTGTGTGTGTGTGAGGGGTGGTGTCCGTGGCTGGTGTATATGGGTGGTGTACGTGTGTGGTGTATGTGTAGTATTTATGGCATGTACATGAGAGTGGGTGTGGAACAAAGAATCTGAGTCTTCTTACCTGTGATGGCCAGATTTGGAGGTTTATTGAAACCAACCAGAGAACCTGGAAGAGATTAAGAGAGATCTGTTCGTAGAATCATAGAATTATACAGCACAGAAGGAGGCCATTCAGCCCATCGTGTCTGTGCCGGCTCTTTGAAAGAGCTGTCCAAAACAATCCCACTCCCCCGTGGTCTCCCCATAGCCCTGCAAATTCGTCCTCTCCAAATATCTATCTACTTCTCTAGTGAAACTTGTTATTGAATCAGCTTTCACCACCCTTTCAGGTAATGTATTCCAGATCCGAACAACTCGCTGTGTGAAAAAAAATTCTCCTCACCTCCCCTCTGGTTCTTTTGCCAACTATTTTAAATCTGTGTCCTCTGCTTACCGACCCACGCGCCAGTGGAAACAGTTTCTCTATGTTCACCCTATTGAATCCCCTCATAATTTTGAACACTCGATTAAATCTCCCCTTACCCTTCTCTGCTCCAAGGAGAATAATCTTAGGCCTCAAACACACCCAGCAATAATCTTAGGCCTCAGCCACATAGCTGGTCAGCAAATTAACTAATCCCCAACACCTGGTCTATGACTAACAGCCAATTGGACTTGTTTACTTGAAAGGGTCTCTCTTTAAGAAAGAATCTGCACTCTTTTGCTGAAAGAAAGCATTCTCTTTTGCTCTCTAGTTTCTAGTTTCAAGAATTCCCACTCTCACCAAATTCCTGCACAGAATGCCCGCTCTGTTCCACCTCACTCAGTTACCTCCTTACACTGCAGGGCTCTCTGCTCTCTGTTATTGCATATTATTCCATAACACACACAGAGACGTCCTCCCGAAGTGAAAGGTGCTATATAAATGTAAATTGTACATAAAGCAGCAATCGGCATGGTGCTGCACTGTCCTCGGTGCCGCCCTTCAGGAAATAAGTTAAAACTGAGGTCTCATCTTCTTGTTTAAGTAGATGTTAAAGATCCTGCGACAAAATTGGATAAAGCTATTTTCTCTCAGTTTCCAAGGCAACCATCCTACATTTGTTGTTCTCCTCGTGGCTATACGATTTTGGATGTGTAAACTAACTGTCATATTTACCCACAAATACACAATCACAACACTTAACTGCAATTTTCTCATGAAGCTCTTTGAGATGTTTGAGACTCGAGCCGAGAGCCCAGAGTGAGCTACGTCCGGAGTGAGGCGATGCCAGAGTGTGAGGGAATTTGGTAAGAGTGGGAATTAGGTGCAGAGGGGGAAATGGGGGCAGGCTATATATCTTTGTATAAAGTTTGTGAAGATGGTGTGGCAGGTAAACTGTGAGGTCTGTCACATGTGGGAGTCAATGGAGGACGCCTTAAGTCCGGGCGACTTCGTCTGCCGCAAGTGTCTGGAAATTAGAGAGCTCCAGCTGAGAGTAGCCAAGCTGGAGTCTCAGGTGGAGACGCTGCGCAGCATTAGGGATGGAGAAAACTTCCTGGACAGCTTTATCCTGGAGCCGGACACTCCCCTGAGTCCCAAGGAAGAAGAATTTAGCAGCGACGGACATGACTGGGTGACAGTCAGGTGGGCAGGCAAGCGTTCCCGAAAGAGAGGGGCTGAAGAATCCCAGACTTTAGCCTTGTCTGACAGGTATGAAATATTGGCAACCTGTGTGGACAAGGAAATCTGCGAGGAAGACGGGCAAACTGACCCCAACACCCCTGTGCAGGAGGTTAAAAATGTAATTCTTATTGGGGATGAGACAGTCGGGAGGACTGATACAGTTTTCTGTAGCCGTAGCAGGGAGACAAGAAGACTCTGTTGTCTTCCTGGGGCCAGGGTGAAGGATGTCACTGCCGGGCTGGAGATAAATTTGAGGCATGAGGGAGAGGATCCAATCGTAATGGTACATATAGGGACCAATGACATTGGTAGGACCAGTAGGGACGAGTTAAGGAGCGAGTTCCGGGAATTGGGAATTAAACTAAGGAATAGAACTTCCAAAGTGATGATATCGGGACTGTTACCTGAGCCAGGAGCTAATTGGTACAGGCAAAAGAAGATCATAGATCTGAATGCCTGGCTAAAAGAGTGGTGCGGAGAGCAGGAATTCCAATTCATGGGCCACTGGCACGAGTATTGGGGAAGATGGGAGCTTTTCCAAAGGAATGGGCTCCACCTAAATAGGGCTGGGACAAATGTCCTGGCTATGCGAATAAATAGGGAGGTAGAAAGGGCTTTAAACTACTAAGGGGTGGGGGGGAGGTAAAAACACAGTAAAGTATAGTCCACCACAGTTAAACTTGAGATCAACAAAAGCAAGAGAGCAGATTAACAAGGGAGAAGAGCAAAGTGTGTCAAGCAGGGAAAGGAAGTACAGTGATAGAGTGCTGGTGAATAGGGTTAATAGCCGGAAGTCAGAATTAAGGCGCTATATCTGAATGCACGAAGCATTCGTAACAAGATAGATGAATTAGTTGCACAAATAGAGACAAACCGGTATGATCTAGTAGCCATCACCGAGACATGGTTACAGGGTGATCAGGGATGGGAACTGAATATTCCCGGCTACGTGGTATATAGGAAAGATAGGCGATGTGGTAAACGAGGAGGGGGAGTGGCCCTGCTAATAAAGGATGGGATAAAAACAGTAGAGAGGAAAGATTTTAAATCTGAAAAGCAAGATGTAGAGTCAGTATGGGTAGAGATACGTAACTTCAAGGGGCAGAAAACTATAGTGGGAGTAGTTTATAGACCCCCAAACAGTGGTCAAAGTATCGCTCAAGGTATAAATCAAGAGATTAGTGGAGCATGTAGCAAAGGAAAGACACTAATTGTGGGTGATTTTAACCTGCACATAGACTGGGACAACCAAATTGGGAAAGGTAACATAGAAGAGGAGTTTATAGAATGTATTAGAGATAATTTTCTAGATCAATATGCTGAGGAGCCGACCAGGGAACAAGCCATATTAGACCTTGTTTTGTGTAATGAAACAGGGCTGATCAGCAAACTGGAACTTAAGGCTCCTCTAGGGCAAAGCGATCATAATATGATGGAATTTAGCGTTAAGTTAGAGAGGGAAGTAGTTAAGTCTGAAGCAAAAGTCTTCAATTTAAATCGAGCCAACTTTGCTGGTATGAGAGAGGATTTAGCCAGAATAAACTGGGAGACTAAACTTAAAGATTTGACGGTAGACCAGCAATGGCAGACATTCAAGGAGATAGTGCAAAATTCCCAACGAGCACATATTCCTTTGAGGAATAAGAATGCCATGGGAAAGGTGGTGCAGCCATGGCTAACTAGAGCAGTTAGGGAAAGTATCAAATCAAAAGAAAAAGCCTATAAAACAGCGAAGATGAGTAGTAAACCCGAGGATTGGGAGAACTTTAGGGAACAACAGAGGAGGACCAAAAAATTGATCAAGAGGGAGAAAATAGATTACGAGGGCAAACTAGCAAAGAACATAAAAACAGACTCCAAGAGTTTTTACAAATATATAAAGAGGAAAAGGCTAGCGAGGGTGAATGTGGGTCCATTACAGGCAGAGACCGGAGGAATTATAATAGGGGACAAAGACATGGCAGAGTCATTAAACAAGTATTTTTCTACAGTCTTCACCGTAGAAGACACTGGAAACATACCAAAAATAGAGGACCAAGAAGACAATGTTAGCGAGCAACTTAGGGAGATTAACATTAGTAAAGAGATGGTTCTAGGTAAATTGTCGGGTCTTAAAACCGATAAATCCCCTGGACCGGATGGCCTGCATCCGAGAGTTTTAAAGGAGGTGGCTACTGAGATAGTGGATGGCATGTCTATAATCTTCCAAAAGTCTGTGGATACTGGAAAAGTTCCCATTGATTGGAAGATTGCAAACGTAACTCCACTATTTAAGAAGGGTGGGAGAGAAAATAGGGAAAACTATAGACCAGTTAGTTTGACGTCAGTTGTAGGGAAAATTCTTGAGTCCTTAATAAAAGACGTAGTTATGGGATACCTGGAAGACCATAAAAAGATTAGGCAGAGTCAACACGGCTTTACAAAAGGGAAGTCATGCTTGACTAACCTTTTAGAATTTTTTGAGGATGTATCCAGCAGGTTGGATAAGGGGGAACCAGTAGATGTGGTATATTTGGATTTTAGGAAGGCATTTGACAAGGTGCCACACAAAAGGCTGTTACTCAAGATCAAGGCCCACGGGATTAATGGGAAAATATTAACATGGATAGAAGAGTGGCTATCGGGTAGAAAGCAGAGAGTAGTGATAAACGGATCATTCTCGAATTGGCAGGATGTAACTAGTGGAGTGCCACAAGGATCAGTGCTTGGGCCTCAGCTATTTACCATTTACATCAATGATCTGGACGAGGACATTGAATGTAATGTGTCTAAATTCGCGGATGATACTAAACTAGGTAGCAGAGTGAGCTCTCAGGATGATGCAAAAAGATTGCAACAAGATATAGATAGGCTAGGGGAGTGGGCAAGTAGGTGGCAGATGGAATTCAATGTTAGCAAGTGTGAAATTATTCACCTTGGTAGCAAGAATAAAAGAACAGATTATTTTCTGGAAGGGGAGAAGTTAGATAGTGTTAGTATTCAAAGGGATTTGGGTGTCCTTGTACACCAGTCCCAAAAAGTTAGTTTGCAGGTGCAGCAGCAACTAAGAAGGCGAACGGCATGTTAGCGTTCATTTCGAAAGGTTTAGAATATAAGAGTAGGGAAGTCTTGCTGCAACTGTATAGGGCTTTGGTGAGACCGCACCGAGAGTATTGTGTGCAGTTTTGGTCTCCTTATTTAAAAAAGGACATACTTGCCCTAGAGGGGGTGCAGCGTAGATTCACTCGGTTAGTTCCTGGGATGAGGGGACTGACCTATGAGGATAGGCTGAATAAACTAGGGCTGTATTCTCTAGAGTACAGAAGAATTAGGGGGGATCTTATTGAAACATATAAGATTCTTAAAGGGCTGATAAAGTAGACACTGAAGGTCTGTTTCCCCAGTAGGAGAATCTATAACCAGGGGTCACAGTCTTAAAATTAAGGGTCAGCCTTTTAGAACAGAGTTGAGGAAACATCTCTTCACTCAGAGGGTAGTGAACTTATGGAATTCACTACCCCAGAAGGCTGTAGATGCTCAGTCCTTGAACATTTTCAAGGCTGAGACTGATAGATTCTTGAAAAATAGAGGGATTAGGGGATATGGGGATAGGGCAGGTAATCAGAGTTAGGTGAGAAGATCAGCCATGGTCTTATTGAATGGCGGAGCAGGCACGAAGGGCTGAATGGCCTACTCCTGCTCCTAATTCTTATGTTCTTATGTTTTGATGGAATAAAGCCATGTATCAAATGCATGGATTATTATATGGGGGAGGTCATTGTAAACACAAGCTTATGTCTAATAGCTGAGGTAGTATTGGAAATAAAGTAGTAAAAAGGCTCAATTCCAAGCGGTCAGGTTTCTGCTGATGTCAGTTTCTTTACAAAGTGATATCATTGGTGCTTCCTGCACATGGTGCTCACACATGGCATACATCAGTGACAACATCTGCACACATCACGCAACACACAGAAAATGGCGGCAGTGGCACCTGATGACATGGAAGTCAGATGTTTATAGTGCAGGAAAAGCTGGTTAGTCAGTGTTGAAGCCAAATGTACGGGTTCACAGTAGCAAGGCAGCAACAATCCAGGAGGAACAGCAACAACTTGCACTTATATAGCACCCTCCACACAGGGTAGCGTCTCAGAACGCTTAACAGTGGTTCCACAACCCGGGGGTGGGGCAAGGTAATCAAAAAGGAAAGTTTTCAGGTGAGACTTGAAAAAGGGGAGTGAGGGGACAAGGCAGAAGGATTGAGGGAGAATGTCCAGAGTTTCAGGGCATAGTGGTTGAATGTGGGACCTCCAATGCTGGAGCAGAGGGTTTGATGGATGAGCAGGAGGCCGGTGCCGGTCATGCGGAGAGCCGGGTGGTGGATTGGGGAATGAGGTCGGAGAGGTAGGGAGGTGCAGGGATTGAAGGGATTTGAACACGAGTGTGAGCATCTTGAAGTCAATCTGTTGGGTGATGGGGAGCCAATGGAGCCTGGTCAGAACTGGTGAGATGGTAGTACGGAGTTTGGTCCAGGTCAGTATGCGGGCGACAGAATTCTGAATGAGCTGGATTTTTTTAATACTGGAGCTGGGGAGACTAGCGAGAAGTACATTTGAGTAATCCAGGTGGGAGGTGACAAACGCATGCTCGAGGGTTTTGACTGCATTTGGGGTAAGGTATGGTCAGGGGCAGGCAATGTGGCGGAGGTAGAGCAAGGAGTTCCTGGTCAGGAACCAGATGTGGGAAGGAAGGACAGCTGGGGGTTGAACCGGAAGGCTAGATTGTGCATTGGTTCGGTGAGTCTAAGAGAGAGCCTGGGGAGGTTGAAGAGTTCAGATATTGACGGGAGCCAAAGAGTACGGCTTCCGTCTTGTTCAGCTGCAGGAAGTTTGCACGCATCCAGGCCCTGATGTCTGACAGAACACCGATGGACCAGGAGTCGCAGCTGGAGGAGGCAACGTAGATTTGTGTGTTATCCGCATAGATGTGGAAGTTTCCCCATGTCTGCGGATGACATCGCCAAGAGTGAACATATTTATGAGGAAAAGAAGGGGGCCAAAGATGGAGCCCTGGGGTACCCCGCAAGTGACCGGGCAGGGGCAGGAGGAGAAAACAGATGAAGTGAATTGTAACAATGCGTTCCAGGACTTTGTCAAGGAAGGGCAGGTTGGAAATGAGACAGTAGTATGAGAGGTTAGAGGGATCGATGGTGTTGAGGAGGGGTGTGATAACAGCAAGGTGTGGAACAGAGCCTGAGGAGAGAGACTGGTTGACTGTGTCGGAAGCAGGTAGGGAAAGGAGGGATAGTTGAGCGACCAGTAGCTGGATGGGGAATAGGTCGAGGCAGCAGGGGGTGAATTTCATGTGGTTGAGAGGGAGAAGTGGAGGCAAAGTGGAGTGTAAGGAGGGGGGAGTGGCAGGAGCCGTGGCGGAGGGAGAAGGTGGTGTGGATAGTATGGGTGGAGGGGGAGGGGACATGGCGGTGGGGTGTGGGGGACGACTATGCAGCCAAGCAGATGTTTTCAATCTTTGAGGCAAAGAAATCTAAGACCTCTTTGCACTTGGCATTTGATGTGAGAATAGGGGGAACTTGAGGGGGTGCACGGAGAAGGTGATGGATGGTGGAAAACTTGGGTTGTTTTTGGCCTCCAGGATGACATTGGAGTAAAAGTCAGCTTTGGCCTGTGAAAGGGAGAGGCGGTAGGTGCTTGAGCCCCAGATGTCAATAAATCGTGAAGCCAGATTTCTGCCATCTGTACTCGAGCATCCGGGTTTGGGTTTTAAGTGAGCGGAAGGGTCTGTTGTACCAGGGGGAGCGGGTGGATTTGGAAACAGTCCTGGATTTCAGGGGAGCCAGGGAATTAAAGGTTGTGGAGAGACAGTCATTCAATAGCTTGATGGCTGCATCAGGTTCGCTGCGGGTGGAGGCCAGAGGAACAGGCGGTCTGAGGAAGAGAGGGCATTTGTGAGCGACTCAGGGGGAAGCTTTTTCCAGATGGACAAAAAAGATGGTGTAGGGTTTGGAAGAGGGGAGGGGGATGCAGGGTGAGAGGGAGGAGGAAGTGGTCCGAGATGGCCTTGTCTATGATGGACAGGTCGGAAATGTCATGGAAGTACTCTACTGGGGATACTATAACTCCCACTATTTCATGTACTCAAACATTATAAACAGTTTGTCAGTCTGCAGGCTCTGGTTCAGTCTTAATTTCTCATTCTACAATTCAGTCTTAATTTGGAATCTAGTCTACTTAAATAGTTTTAAATAGCTATTAAGATAGCTTCCAAATGAATACTGAATTTAAGATTTTTTCACAACTCTGCAGCATCTTATAAACAAAATTCTCGCAAGCTGATTGGTGAAATTTTGAGCTCTGGCATTGTAACAGAAACATTTCTACCAGTGTAGAATTGTGACATTATTGTTTGAGGCAAATTGTTGAGCACAATACGCAGTTCAATGTCTTTAAACTTATTTCGCAAGGCAAAAGGTTGTTGAAATGCTCACCTTCCTGATATACCACGCTTGCCGCTAATAAATCCACCACAGCTTGCCTGCTCATGTTCCCCACCACAGGGACACCAGGCTCTTGCAGGATACTGACCGCTTTCAAACGCTGGGGCTTTGGCTGCCCGGCTCGGTCTCCCTGCAACTGTGTATTGTACCTAGTGGGAGCACGAAGAACAGTAATGACAATCCTTACATTTGATATCGTGCCTTTCATGTCGTGAAGATGCCTCAAAGCACTTCATAGAATCATAGAATTATACAGCACAGAATGAGGCCATTTGGCCCATCGTGTCTGTGTCGGCTCTTTGAAAAAAGCTTCCAGTTCAATCCCACTCCCAGCGCTCTCCCCATAGCCCTGTAAACTTGTCCTCCCCAAATATCTATCTACTGCTCTCTTAAAATCTGTTATCGAATCGGCTTCCACCACTCTTTCAGGCAACGCATTCCAGGATCACGCTTCATAAAAGTGTGATTCGTGGGTGAAAGTTGGCAGCCCAATTGTGCACAGCAATGTCCCACAAATAGTCATGAAGTGAATGAACAATGTTATCTAGGGGAATTATTGGCCCAGACACCTTTTGTCAAGGGATCTTTAACATTCAACTGAACAGGCATACAGGACCTCGGTTTACTATATCATCCGAAGGACAGCACCTCCCAGGACTGCACTTGTGTCAGTCTGGACTGTGTGAATAAGAGACAAAGCAAGAGCTCAATGAGTCTTCCTCACCTAAATCCCTGAGACTGGCTCAGTCGGTAACATTCTCATTGAGTCAGGAGGATGTGGGTTCAACATCTATGTTGAGACTTTGAGCTCATATATTCTAAGACATGGTTGTCCAACTTTTCGGTTGCTGGATTCCCTATTTGAGAGAGGTCTGCGGGGCGCACCCAGTGTGGGCCAGCTGGTGGGCTGCATCCGGCCCAAGACCATTTCCAACTTCAGCTCTCTCTCTCACTGGTGAACGTCCTCCCAGGGCAGTGCAGAATCCGCCGATTGGGAGGACGCAGCGCAGAGAGGGGAAATAATACCGACTGTTGCTGCAGAGGAGAGGGGGGATAGAGAAGGGGAGGGTGGGGGGGGGCACTCTCTCTCTCCTCTCTCTCTCTATCCCCTCTCTCTCACACACACTCACTCTCTCTCAATTACTCTCTCTCACTCCACTTTTTACACTCTCTTCCCTCTCACACTCCACCTTCCCCCACTCTCACACACTCTCTCCTGCACTCAATTTCTCTCTCTCCTTCTCTCCGCTCTCTCCATCCAAGGGGGGGACAAGGAGGAGGGGGACAAGGAGGAGGCCAGACCCAGAGGAACAAAGGCAACGGGTGCTGTTTTGAGGAGAGAGGTCAGAGAGGTAGGGGGGTGCAGAAGAGTGTAGGGACTTGAATTCGAGGATGGGGATCTTGAAGTCAATCCTCTCTGGGATAGGCAGCCAGTGCAGTCTGGCAAGGACTGGGGTGATAGGGGAGTGGAGTTTCGTGTGGGGGAGAATGCGGGCAGCAGAGTTCTGATTGAATTGGATTTTATGGATGGTAGGGGATGGGAGACTGTCAACCTCTCCCTGTCAACTGGCACCATTCCCACCCCCCTAAAAACAGTTGTCATCACCCCTGTTCTAAATAAACCTTCCCTGGACCCATTCCTCTCATTAACTACTGCCCCATCTCCAACCTCCCTTTCCTTTCGAAGGTCCTTGAAAGAGTTGTTGCTTCCCAACTTCACTCCTTCCTCTCCTGCCACTCCCTTTACGAACCCCTCCAATCGGGTTTGGTCTAGGTGAGAAATTACATTCTGTCCTTCTGTGACCAGGGCTCCCTCTATCTCCTCGTCCTCTCCGCTGCTTTTGACACTGTGGATCACTCTATCCTCCTTCACCGCCTCTCCTGCCTCCTTAACTTTCAAGGTTCTATCCTTGAATTGTTCGAATCTTATCTCTCACACCGTCTCCACTTTATCTTCACAAACAGCTTCTCCTCCAGCCCCCGTTCCGTCTCGTGCTGTTCCTCAGGGCTCTATCCTCAGTCCTCTCCCCTTCAACCTGTATGCTCCCTTTTGGTGACATCATTCGCAGACATGGGGTCAAGTTCTACTTATGCACGAATGACACCCAATTCTCTCTCTCTTCCTCCACCCTCGACCCCAGGAGCACTGATGTCCTGACTGATTGCTTGTCAGACACCAAGTCCTGGATGAGAGCCAACTGTCTAAAGCTGAACATCAGGAAGACCGAGACTCTCCAGATTGGCTTGCGACAGCACCTCCACACTTCTGGCACTGGCAGTGTAGGCATCCACGGATGCACACTCCACCTCTCCAAGCCAGTCAGTAACCTAGGCATCTTGTTCGACCCTCAATTATCCTTTCTCCTCTACATTTGTGCCATGACCTTTCTTTCCTTTCCCCATCTTCGCAATATTGCTCAACTCCACCACTGCTTCACACCTCAGGCTGCCAAAACCCTCATACACGCCTTCATTACACCCAGACTTCATAATTTGTTGGCTTCCCAATTCTTCCCTCACAAGCTGCAGATCATCCAGAACTCTGCAGCTCGTGTCCTTTTCCGCACTAGGCTCCATGACCCCCATCACACTCACCCGGCTCCACTGGTTCCCCATCCCTCAGACGATCAAGTTCAAAATTCTCGCCTCACCTTCAAGACCTTGGCCTTGCCCCCTACCTCTCCGACCTGCGACCGACCGTATCAATCTGTCTGCTCCCTCAGTTCAATAAGCTCCATGTCCCCCGCCTGGCCTGCCTCACCATCGGGGTTTGGGGTTTCAACCTCTTTACCCCCACCCTCTGGAACTCCATCCCACAATCCCTTCACCTCGCTCCTTCCCTTGCCTCCTTCAAGGCTGGTCTCAAGACCCTCCTCTTCGACCGTGCCTTTGGTCACCCTCTCTGCTCTCCACCCTCCCTGATCCCAAACACCCCCCGCACTTCGGCCCTGATCCCTTATAGTTCAGCGCCTTGGGACGTCCTCCCGTCGTGAAAAGCGCTTTAATTTTGTATTGTATTGTAATCAACCCCTCCCCTCCTCACTCTCTCTCCCCCTCAAACACTCTGTCTCTCTCTCTCACTCCCATTTTCTTACGCACCTGTGTCAAATCTGGCCTAACGGTCCACCGACAAATCTGGCTGGACCTCCTCAAAATTTACCGCTCCACTCTAGCCTCGGCCAAGTCGTCCTTCTACTCCAGGATAATCCTGGAGGTGAAGAACAACCTCAGGCTACTGTTTTCCACCACAACCCGACTCCTCCGTCCCCCCCGCCACCCCGCGCAGGTCATCTCCTCCAACCTTCACTGCGAGGAGATGCTGGATTTCCTTGAATCCAAGATCAAGGGAATCCGCTCCGCGGTCACTTCCCCTCCAACTTCCACCCACCACCCACCCCTTCCCTCCCACACTCCGACTCCTACCCATCCTCCCCTACACACCTTCGTACCCGTTTCCCCACCCTCTGTAACTGAACTCATTCTATCCCTAAAACCAACCACCTGCTCCCTTGACCCCATCCCCACTCCACTCCTTATCTCCCAGCTCCACTTTCTTGCCCCACATATCACTGACATCATCAACCTGTCCCTCTCCTCTGGCTCTGTCCCCATTCCATTAAAAACTGCCATCATCACGCCCACCCTGAAAAAACCCTCCCTTGATGCGTCGCAGCTATCAAGTTACCGGCCCATCTCCAACCTCCCCTTTCTCTCCAAGGTCTTGGAAAGAGTTGTCGCCTCCCAACTGCGCTCTTTCCTTTCCACCCATTCTCTTTTCGAACCCCTTCAGTCAGGTTTCCGTGCTGCCCATAGCACAGAAACTGCCCTGGTCAAGGTCACCAATGATATCCTGACCACCTGTGACCAGGGCTCCCTCTGTCTCCTCGTCCTCCTCGACCTATCGGCAGCATTCGATACGGTCGACCACGCTATCCTACTCCACCGCTTGTCCTCCCACCTCAACCTTCAAGGCACTGTCCTTGAATGGTTTAGGTCGTACCTTTCTCACTGTCTTCACTTTGTCTCGACGAATGGCTTCTCCTCCACCCCCCGCACTGTCTTGTGCGGTGTCCCTCAGGGCTCTGTCCTCGGTCCCCTCCTCTTCACCCTCTATATGCTCCCCCTCGGTGACATCATCCGCAGACATGGGTTAACTTCGACATGAATGCGGATGACACCCAACTCTACCTTTCCTCCTCTACTCTCAACTCCACGACCTCCGATGTCCTGACAGCTGTCTGTCCGACATCGAGTCCTGGACGAGAGTCAACTTTCTTCAGCTCAACGTGCGTAAAACTGAGGCCCTCCTGATTGGCTCACGTCAGCGCCTCCGCACCTCAGGCGCTGACACCATCAGCATCCAAGGCTGCACTCTCCACCTCTCAAAGCCAGTCAGGAACCTCGGCGTTTTGTTCGACCCTGAGCTGTCCTTTCTCCCTCACATCCGCACCACAACTGGCACCGCCTTCCATCACCTCCGGAACATCGCCAGACTACGGCACTACCTCACCCCTCACGCTGCTGAAACCCTGGTTCACGCCTTTGTCACCTCAAGGCTGGACTATGGGAACTCTCTCCTCGCCGGCCTTCCCGGCCCTCCCTCCACAAGCTGCAGGTCATTCAGAACTCTGCAGCTCGTGTACTGTCCCGCACCAGGCTTCGGGACCACATCACTCGCACCCTCGCTCGCCTCCACTGGCTCCCCATCCCCCAGAGGATTGATTTCAAGATCCTCATCCTCACCTACAAGGCCATTCACGGCCTTGCTCCCTCCTACCTCTCCAACCTACTATCCCCCTACCTACCTGCCCGTACCCTCCGTTTCTCTGGCTCCGGTCTGCTCCACGTCCCCCGCCCCAACCGCCCTACCATCGGTGGTCGGGCCTTCAGCCTCTCAGCCCCGAGGCTCTGGAACTCCATCCCCCAGTGCCTTCGCCGCCTCTTCCCTTTCCTCCTTCAAGGCCGGTCTCAAAACCTTTCTCTTTGACCGAGCCTTCAGTTCCCCTCTCGACTCTCTACCCCCTCCTCTCTCCCTCCCTTCCCTCCCCTCACCCTGACCATTTCCCCCCTGCTCGGGTCATGACCCAACTGTGCAGCGCCTTGGGACGTCCTCCTGATGTGAAAGGCGCTTTATAAATGGAATCTTGTTGTTGTTGTTGTTGTCTCTTTTCATACGCACTCACTCCCTGCTTTCGCTCCCCCTGCTGTTTCCCTTCACTTTTCCCCCTTCCCCCATCTTTTCCGCCCTCTCTCTTGCCGCCTCACCCCTCTCTCTTCCCTTTCTTAACCAATCAGTCACGCGGCAATCACTATCTGCAGGAGCCGGCGGTTTCTAAGGACGCAGTTGGTAAGAGATGCTCTTGCCCTCCTGACACACTGCAGTAACGGTCCACTCTTTATTTCCACTCTCCATACTGCGTCCTCACAAACGCCACCTCCTGCTGCTGCCCTGGGAGGAGGTTCACCAGGGAGGAGGGAGGGAGGGAGGGAGGGAGTGCAAGTTGGAATGTTGGAAACGGTCTCCGGATCAAATCATCTGCTGGGCCACCTGTTGGACCAGTCCAATGGAGTGCTGGGGGAGCGTTGCCTTGTCAGAGTGCCGTCCTTCGGATGAGATGTTGAAGCAGCTCCTGTCTGGTCTCTGATGGATGTTAAGATCCTGTGACATTATTTGACAAGAGGAAGGCGTTTCGCTCTCCTGGTGTCCTGACCAACAATCTCCAAACAACAAAGTTGGTCACTCAGTGCACAGATGTTTGTGGGAGATTCGCTGTGATTGACTGCCGCGTTTGCCAACAAACAGTCACTGGATTTCACAGTATATCCTGTGAAGCGCTGTGGGCCGCCCTCCCGGGGACAGGCGGCGGCGGTCAGTGACGGTGTTACAGACAGTGACTGACCAGGCGGCCGCTGTGCAGAGGCGGCGCTGTGCCCGACCCGCGGCCTTGAGCCCCGTCACCATCAACATCACTCCCACCAGCCCCGAGCCCCGAGCCGGGGCCGCCCGCGCGCTTCCTGTGTCCGCCGGAAACCCGGCCCCGAACCTTGGTTCCGCCCCCGACTGTCACAGCTCAGTTTGTGAGATGTGAGGCCGATGGTGAAAGATTGGGGTTTGGGGATTACAGGATCTGCCACAATCTCACACAGAAGGGGAGTGTGGGGTGAATGTCCTCCTGTTCCTGTGGAGGCACTGCTCTCCTCTGCAGCAGCTTTGGGCCTGGACACGCCCTGTGGTCACTCAGTGCCCCGGGCCGGGCCGGGCCGGGCCGGGCTGACCAATCACTGCACAGTTGTCTAACAGCACGGAATCTTACAGCAAAACCTCTGGTTTGATTCCCCCTCTATGTGTATGTGCTGTTTATCCTTCCAATATTCACTACCTATAATGATACAGTAACACAAAAAATAATAATTTGGTCACTTAATCCACGACTGTTTGTGGGACGCTGTTGTGTACAATTGGCTGCCATGTTTCACCCACAAATATACAGTCACTACACTTTGCAGTCTATTCTGTGAAGCGCTTTCAGATGTCTAGAAGACATGAAAAGCACTATATCAAATGCAAAGATTATTATTATTACTTTGTGTTTATCTATGTTGAATTTAATTTGCTGGTGAACTCCAGGTGAATACCCCAGTGACCAGTCACTGACCGCTCCTCTCACTATACCGTTCCCCTGCATTGAGCCTGCCAATCCGCATCACTGATGTATTTGCTAAACAAAACTGGCCCCCATTATAAGGCAGTAGTTTGCGTCCATAAAATGAGACTTGCGTTATCCTTTCATAATCTTAAATCCATGAATCAATCATCTCCACTCACAATCGTCTCCACTCTGAGGACAAAAGCACCAACCTGTCCACTCTTTCTCAATAACTATATCACTTGTCCTGGGAACGTCACAAATCTACGCTGGCCTCTCTCTAATGCTCCAATATCCTTCCTGTAATGTGACCAGCATATTCGACAAGAGAAAGGAGTTTCGCTCTCCTGGTGACCTGACCAACAATTTCCAAATAACAAAGTTGGTCACTCAGTGCACAGATGTTTGTGCGAGATTCGCTGTGATTGACTGCCGCGTTTGCCAACAAACAGTCACTGGATTTCACAGTATATCCTGTGAAGCGCTGTGGGCCGCCCTCCCGGGGGACAGGCGGCGGCGGTCAGTGACGTTGTTACAGACAGTGACTAACCACTTGGCCGCTGTGCAGAGGCGGCGCTGTGCCTGGCCCGCAGCCTTGAGCCCCGTCACCATCAACATCACTCCCACCAGCCCCGAGCCCCGAGCCGGGGCCGCCCTCATACAGCCCCCCCCCCACCCTCCGCGCGATTATGAGTGGACATGATTGATTAATGGATTAACACAGTACTACAAATGCGATCTAACTAAAAGAGGGTATAAATGTAACATCAAGAGCAGTTCTGGGGAAGGTGGGAGCTGTATGGGTTACACCTGAACAGAGCTGGGACCAATGTCCTCACAGGGAGGTTAACTAGTGCTGTGGGGAAGCGTTTCAACTAATTTAGAGGAGGGAAGAGAATCAGGATATAGTATCAGAGAGGACATAGGGCTGGGAGACACAAATAGCAATGTAATAAGGACAAGTCCTGAAAAACAATGGATTAGACAGGGGAGAAATGCAGAGCAGACTCAGTCGGTCTTGGAGTGCATGTGCACAAATGTATGGTGTTTGACAACTAAGATTGGTGAACTGCAGGCTCAAGTTACCACATGGGGTTATGATATAATGGCAATAACAGAAACATGGCCCAAAGAAGAGCAGGAAAAGGAGCTGAATATTCCTGGCTACAATGTATTCAGGAGGGATGGGGAAGGAAAAAAAGAAGTGGGGGGTGGCAGTATTGATTAAAGACACGGTTACGGCCCTGGAAAGGGACGATGTGCTAGAGGGTCCAAAAACAGAATCTATTTGGTTAGAGTTAAAACAAAGGGGGGATTGCATTTGCATCATTAACACCTCTTTAACCCACCATCCTCTGTCGTCTACCCCATTTTCTCCTTTGTCTTCCTTGCCTTGCCTCCTCCCTCTCTGTTAGCCCTTAAAAGCCTTTCCCTCCCAACATGCCTCAGTTCTAATGAAGGGTCGTGGACCTGAAACATTGACACACTTTCCTTTTTCCATAGATGCTGCCTGACCTCCTGAGTGTTCCCAGCCAGTTCTGTTTTTTAGGAAGGATTCCTGAAATGTGTGCAGGATATCTTTCTGGATCAGTATGTTTCCAGCACAACGAGGAAGGAAGCAGTGCTGGATCTAGTTCTGGAGCAAGTAGAGCAGGTTTCAGTAGGAGAACATCTGGACAACAGGAACAACACCATTAGGTTTAGAGTACTTATGGAAAGGGACAAGGAACAATCAAAGGTGAAGATACCCAACTGGAAGAGGACTAATTTCAGTGAGTTAAAAAGGGACTGAGCAAAGATGGACTGGAAAGAAAGATTGGCAGGTAAAACAGCTACTGAGCAATGGGAAGCCTTCAAGGAGGAGATAGTTCAGTGACAAATACATTCCCATAAGGGGAAAGGTAGGGCATCCAAACCTCCATGGATGAATAAGGAAATTGGGATTAAAATAAAACAGAAAAAGGAGGTTTATGATAAATGTCAGGTCGAAAATACAGAAGATAATCAAATAGAATATAGAAAGTACAGAGGAGAACCGAAAAAGGAAATATGGGGCAAAGAGATTGTATGAGAAAAGATTAGCGGGTAACATAAAAGGGAACCCTAAGGTAATTTATAAGGATATAAAGATAATAATAATCCTTGCATTTGACATAGCGCTTTTCACATCTTCTAGACGTCCCAAAGCGCTTCACAGAATATACTGTAAAGTGAATTGACTGTATATTTGTGGGCGAAACACGGCAGCCAGGTGCGCACAGCACCGTCCCACAAACAGTCATTGATTGAGTTAGTAAATTAATATTGTTTTTTTTCTTGAGGGATTATTATCAGGCATGTGGAGTAAGGAAACTTGCCCAAGGTTTCGTCCTGCCGGGAATCAAACCCGGCAGGACGGGTTTGACTGGTTATCTCCAGTCTTACTTGCGAGGCGAGCGCTCTAATGTTGGGATTTCCGATCCCGTAGTTTGAAATATAACTTGACAATCCAAATATGGTGCAGCAAGATTTATTATGAACAGAGTGAACACAACATGCATTAACAAGTTACTACAACTGTCTAACAAATTATACTACCAGTTTTTGTAGACAGTCACAGAAAACCTTCATTGTACTCCTTAAAGGGACTTCTCCAAACTGGTCTCTTTCTCTCTCTCTGGAACCTTCCTGTTCTACTAACTGTTTTCATCTAGAGGTGGGATAGTCATACCCTTTTTCCAAGTGTCCTTTTCCTAGGGCCCCTCTACCCACTTCTGATACTGTTACGTACTCAAGTTAATCAATTTGGCTTGGTGCCATCCTGACTGAGTCTCCATGAGGTCTTCCTTTTGTCCTGTCTTAGATAGGAGATTGATCGGTTTAGGGCTGCGTCTGGTGCTTGTTATTTTGTTATGTGGGATCATTAGTACATTCCTTTTAAGTGACTGGTTATCTCTTATCAGTATCCCGGGATGGTACCAAAGTCCTCCAGTTTAAACAACTTACTCGTTAGTTGCTATTCTTGAGGGTGGCCTTCTGTTGTTTGCCAGGCCCTGTCAGAATCTAGAGACTTATTGCTACGCTGAGATTCTAATCTTTCAATCCTTGTTGGACACCGGGGGTGGTGCTAGAAGACTGGAGGGTTGTAAATGTTACTCCCCTGTACAAAAAGGGGCAGAAGGATAAATTTGGGAACTACAGGTCAGTCAGCCTAACATCAGTGGTCGGGAAACTTCTAGAGACTATAATCCGGGACAAAATAAATTTTCACTTAGAAAAATATGGGTTTATAAAGGACAGCCAACACGGATTTGTTAAAGGCAAATCGTCCCTAACAAACCTGAACAAACCTAACAAAACTGTCCAGCGCCTTGGGATGTCCTCCCGACGTGAAAGGCACTCTATAAATGAAATCTTGTTGTTGTTGTTGTTTTTGATGAAGTAACGGAGAGGGTGGATGAAGGTCGTGCAGTTGATGTAGTTTATATGGATTTTCAAAAGGGTTTGATAAAGTGCCATATAAGAGACTTGTAAGCAAAATGAAGCCCACGGTATTAAAGGGACAGTGGCAGCGGATACAGAACTGTCTGGGAAACAGAAAGCAGAGAGTGGTGGTGAATGGTTGTTTTTCTCACTGGAGGGAAGTGTGTGGTGTCCCACAGGGATCAGTATGGGGCCACTGCTGTTTTTGATCTGTATAAATGATTTGGACTTGGGTATAGGGAGCACAATTTCCAAGTTTTCAGATTATTCTAAAATAGGAAAGGTTGGGGGGGAGGGGCGGGTTGAGGGAAGATGTAGAGGGAATGGGGTTGGGAAGGCGGAGGCAGCTGAACGGATCGCCTCGATGGTCCAAAGGAGCTCAGGTATAGGGACTACTGCTGTTTTCGATCTACTAAGTTAGGAAAAGTAGTAAACAGTGAGGAGGACAGTAGCAGACTGCTAATGGACATAGACAGACTGGTAAAATGGGCAGACAGGGGGCAGATGAAGATTAATGTGGAGAAATGTGAAATGATGCATTTTGGGAGGAAGAATGAGGAGAGACAATATAAGCTGATGGTACAATCTTAAAGGGGTGAAGGAACGGGGGAGGGGGTTCATATAACTTATAAGAGAGAAGTAGATAGATATTTGGGACAAGTTTGTAGGGTTATGGGGAGAGAGCAGGGGAGTGGGATTGACTTGGAAGCTCTTTCGAAACTGTTTGCAGTTTTGGTCTCCTTATTTAAGGATGTACTTGCCTTGGAAGGGGTGCAGAGTAGATTTATTAGGTTAGTACCAGGGATGAAGGGGATGAGTTACGAGGATAGGCTGACCAATTTGGACCTATATTCTCTAGAATATAGAAGAATTAGAGAGAATTAGAAGAATTAGATTTGAAAATCATGGAAAAAGTTGAAACGACCGTCTGTGATATTCATTTTATTGTGCTTAATTCATTACAGTCTCATTACATCAGAATTGATTGTGTCCAAATCCGAGCAGAACACAAATGTCCAGTGATATTGCATAATTCTTGTTTCTGATACAGGGTATCAGTTTAATTATCTGATTGTTTACCCTGTAAAAAAAAATGATCACTATCAATCTATTGATATAGTCTTAATGCCAAATGTTCCTTGTGCCCACAGCTCCCCAAAATGTTACCAATTCTGTTACCAATCTGGCAATTGATTCTGATGCTGTTTCTCTTACTGTCCATTTCAATTTCATTCACCTCATAATGGCTCTATTGCAAATGATACCTTCACAATTGATTGGCAACAGTGGAGGGGAACTGTTTCCTGAAAGGAGGCAGGAGAATCTGAGCCATTTTATAACATACCAATAATGAGAATCACTGTGTTACATTAATAAAATCATCCCCACCCCCCCTTTCCTAAGTGCTGTGTGGACCTGACGTATGTACCACAACTGGCCTTTTGAAAGTCCTTTCATCCTCGTTATGATTAAGTAGCAGCTATTTTTTTCTGTCAAAACATACAAATTCTTCATAGAAAAAAAGTTACTTTTAAAGTAAATTGATTTGGAGTACCTAATCTTGGAAATAATGCATGAAATGTCCCTCATGTTACTGAGCATCTGGCACCAAAAATCATTGTTACTGGAAAAGTGTGAAGGTGCTTACGAGTTGGTGTTTTTTTAGATCGTGCTGGTTAGCCTTCAGCCCTGCACTGGTTTGCTGAGGCAGCTCTGTGCACCTCTTGCTCGCGATGACTGGGGCACCTTTAAAGGTGGGCAGCAAACTGGTGATATGCAGCTGCGGGACAGCAGGGCTCTTCAACCGCACCCGCGGAGAATTGTAGGAATAACGCAATGGCAGCGTTTTCTCCAGGGTACTTTTGCTTCTGTCTGAGGAAATTGTAGATTTTGAGTTTTTATTACGATTAAAATCCTGGGTATCAAGGCTGAGGATCTTCAGGCTGATGTGCAGGGGATTGCGGAGTGTCTGACGATTGGGAAGGATCAAGTGTTTGACAGACATGTTCACCTCTGACATATTAGGTGAGTAAATGGGCATCTTTCTGCTCATATTCATTTTGATGGTCTTCTGTGGTGTGTTATAGCGCTGTTCGTCTTGGTCGATAGCACTATATTTCTCAACGTTTTCAGTTATAGCTGTTGCAATACCTGCTTGCATGCCTTCAGCAATTTTACTCTTAATTTCCTCAATTTTATCCCATGCAGTTAAGACGTGTTTGCCTATTATTTTAGTATTGCCTGGATTATTTGTCTTGTGGTGGTTGGAACTGTTGACATGTTTTGTTTTCTGTGTAATCTTGGAAATGGCATGATTCTTCACCTGGTTCAGATTGTTGGAGGTTTTTTGATTCTTCGCATGGCTGGGATTGGATATGAAGAAACCTCTCATATTACATGAATTGCTGATAAATAAAGCACTTTTTGTAGTGCCTGAATTATTGGAAGGGGAAGACCTCAAACTATTGGTCATGATGGAATTCTTTGTATTGGAAGAATTATTAGGCACCATGGAATTCCTTGCGCTGGTGGAATTATCAGGGAGGACACAATTCCTTACGCTGGTTGCATTATTGGGAAGGACACAATTCCTTACACTAGTGGAATTATTGGGAAGGACACAATTCTTTGCACTAGTGGAATTATTGGGGACAATGTAATTCACTTCATTGGTTGCATTGTTGGAGACACTATTATTATTTGCAATGCTGCAACTGGGAACTAAGGAATTTGTTGCGCTGCTGGTGGTGTTGGGAAATGGGACATTCCTTGACAAGTCTGGACCGAATGCAGTAAATGGGTTACCGCCTGGTACCATGCGGATGCACTCCTTCAAGCTGGCGGAACAATTGTGGGCTCCAAGGGGAGTAGCTTTCTCTGTTGTGCTGGGGTTCTGGGCAGTGTTGCCAAGCCAGATGGTGGTGACATTTTTCTGTACTGGAGGGCGTGGTTTCCTGATACATGATCCTTCAACCAAGAGGTTTATTCCAATGTACAGAGGAATGTCCATCACAGGCTGTGAAAGAAAGAAAACAACATATAATAATACCGGCAATTGATACAGCACTTATGATGTCAGAGTCTCAAACTGCTTCAGAAGAAATTGACATCAAGTGAGGAGTCTATCTTTGTGGGCCAACGCTATAGATGATTTGCCTACAACAGGTCCCACAAAGAGCCAATGAAGTGGTTTAAATGGCTCATCTGAAAGAATGGACCTCTGGCAAAGCAGCACACATGTAAGTCCCATTTCTGGTGGCTGGAAAGATTTAATTATCTGACTATAAACATATACTTTATTGAATATGTGTATTACATTCACAATAAATTGGTTTAATGTTTGAGCTTCTCTAGACCAACATCACAATGGAGTCACACCCTATATCTAGCCCCATGTTGGTAAGATTGACACATCTGCCTCTGGAGAGAAAGCAGAACTCAACCATGTCCATCACTGAGGACTCAAGTAACATTCACACCTCACTTGGCTGTACCACAGGCATTCACCTGCCTGTAACCACCAGTATCCAGGAGATTACCACCTTGGTACATTGGAGTAAACACTGACATGTCTATCATGCACCCTGTCATACATCCTCTATATAATGCCCGCTGGACATCACGCCCCGCTGGTCATCATGCCCTCTGTGAATTACCTGTCTGTACAAAAGCTCAAATCTTCCTATGTCGCAGGTCCTTTCATTCCTTCGATCGACAACCACCTTGATGGTGTCCTCTTGCACATTGGTGCACAGCATGGCGGTGACCGCTGTGGACGGTGACATTGTGGGGCTACAATTAATCTCAATCAGCCACGGGATGTAATCCTTCCCAATCAGAAAATCTGCTCCATACAGCTCAAAGCTGTTCTTGCGAGGTTTCATCCCATCCTGCACCATCTGCATGGTGTGAATTATAGCCTTCTTCATGCCCGGCGAGATGATATGCTCCCACATGCTGCCCTTGCCGTTCTTCCTCAGATAGTCCTTGAACTGTTCACTTGTCCACATGTTGTCTGTGGGCACCATCGGGTGTCGGCTTGAGGAGTTTTCACAGCGTCTCTGGATTGAGTTATTGCACAAGTGAATTGATCTGAAGACAGGAAGACATTGGTTATCCACACTGTGAACGAGTCATGTTTTGCGGAGGGGTTTGGGCTCCAGGTGAGACATGATCAATGTCAGGACAGTGCGTGGCACAAACCAACCCTTAGGGGGAATGTGGATTCATCCCATGATTGCCAACCAATGCCGTACCTAAGTAGGTTGTCGCCTTGTGCCCTTCTCCCCTCACCCCGCGACCCTCTCCCCACGACCCTCACTGTGACAACAACAATAATAAAATTACATCTGTATAGAGTCACGTTGGGAGGATGATCCAAGGCACTGGACAGTCAGTGTTTTGGACCTGAGCTGGGGAGCGGGATGGGGGAGGATGGAGGGCAGCGAGAGGAGGGTGATCAAAGCCACGAGTCAAAGAGGATGGTTTTAAGATGGAGTCAAGGGAGCGGTGAGGCGGAGGGACTGCAGGATGGAGTTCCAGAGGGTGGGACAGAGTGTCCCTCACTGTGTGACCCTCACTGTGAGGCATCGACAACAGGAATTTGGTGAGAATGGGAATTCCTTGTTTACTAACTGAAATTTAAAATTGAAACTTAACAATACCAAGGCAGTTTGTAGGTGACCAGGTGTTAATTGTTAGCTGACTAGTTGAAACTGGTTCTATCTGAGGGGTATATAAAGGGGAGACTTGCAAAAGCCTTACTCGAACAGAAAGCCCAATGTAAGGAGCTGCAAACGAAAGAACGGAGGGAGGTAAGGCCTCTACAACAGGAATTTGGTGAGAATGGGAATTCGGTGCAGAGGGGGAAGGAGGTGTTTATATTATAAAGAGTATAAAATAGCAGCATGGGCAGTGTGTCGAGACGGTAGAATGTGGGAATTTGCAGACAGTGAGACTGTCTCGGTTGATCACATCTGTGGGAAATGCCTATGTCTTGAGTCACTCCGGATGAGAGTCTTTGAGCTGGAGTGCGAGCTAGAGACACTCCAATACATAAGGGAGGGCGAGGATATCTTGATAGTTTACTCCAGAATACAGTTACACCACATGGCGAGAGAGACGGGTGCAGGAGAGGAGTGTGGCTGACTGATAGCAGGGTATAGGGGCAACCTCGTGCAGGTAGAGAAGGAGGAACTGGAGGAACCAGTCCTGTCCAACTATCCTTACATGTTCTTGCTCAGGTAAGGATAGGGAAGAAGCTGCAGGGAGGAGGGAGAATAGACAGAATGCTAATCAAGGCACCATGGAGCAAGAAGCAGTTCAAGGTGGCAGAGGAGCAGAAAAGAAACTTAGTTATAAGGGATTCATTAATTAAGGGGATAGATGGTATCCTCTGCAGTCATGATCAAGAGTCCAGGAGATGTTGCCTCCTCCGGTGCCAGGTCAGAGATATTTCAAAACAGCTGAAATGGAATTTGGAAAAGGAGAGGAAAGAACCAGTTGTCATGATCCATGTGACATAGGAAGATCAGGAAGGGATCCTGCTAAGGGAGTATCCGAAGCTAGGAGCTGAATTAAACAGGACCCGGAGGAAGGTAATCTCTAGATTCCTTCCTTTGCCACATACAAATTGGCATAGGGATAAACAGATCAGAAAAAGTCAATGAGTGGCTGAAAGAGTGTTATGGGAAGGAAGGATTCCATTTCATAGGACACTGGCACCAATACTAGGACAGGAAGGAGCTATTCTGCTGGGATGGGTTACACCTGAACTGGGCCCCGACCAAGGTCCTAATGGAAATCATAAATAGAATTGTAGAAAGAGCTTCAAACCAATAAAGGGGTGTGTGTGGGGGGGAAGGATTCGGCAAGAAATAACAGGAAACTACAGATAAGAAGGGATAAGGTTAAAGGTCAGAGTACGAAAAGTGATAAATATAAGATAAATACTCCGAGAAGAAAAAGGGTTATCGGAGGTAGACACAAAAAGTTTGACAAGACCAAAAGTGGGAGAAAAACACCATCAGGGCATATAGACAGGGTGAGGACAGTTACCTGAATAAGTGTGTCTCTGTACACAAATGCATGTAGCATAAGAAATAAATAAGTGAGTCAGAAGCACATATTCAATTTCGGCCACAAAATATAAAGTCAATTCACTTGACAGTGCTTAGAGACATCTCAAAGATGTGATAATGTGCTATATCAAATGCAAGGATTATTATTAAAATAGACATGGGGTCAACTTCCACAGGTATGCGAATAAGACCCAAATCTACCTCTCCGCCTCCACCCTCGACTCCAGGACCACCGCTGTCCTCACAGACTGTCTGTTGGACATCAACAACAACAACAACAACAACAAGATTCCATTTATAGAGCGCCTTTCACGTCAGGAGGACGTCCCAAGGCGCTGCACAGTTGGGTCATGACCCGAGCAGGGGGGAAATGGTCAGGGTGAGGGGAGGGAAGGGAGGGAGAGAGGAGGGGGGAAATGGTCAGGGTGAGGGGAGGGAAGGGAGGGAGCGAGGAGGAGGAAGAGAGTCGAGAGGGGAGCTGAAGGCACGGTCAAAGAGAAAGGTTTTGAGACCGGCCTTGACGGAGGAAAGGGAGGAAGCAAGGCGAAGGCACTGGGGGATGGAGTTCCAGAGCCTGGGGGCTGAGAGGCTGACGGCCCGACCACCGATGGTAGGGCGGTTGGGGCGGGGGACGTGGAGCAGACCGGAGCCAGAGGAACGGAGGGTACGGGCAGGTAGGTCCTGAATGAGAGCAAACGTCTTCCAGTTAAATGTCAACAAGACCAAGGCCCTCCTGCTTGGCTCCCATCAGCATCTCCATACCTCAGCATCACCCTCCATGGATGTACACTACACCTCACGGAGCCAAAACGGAACCTCAGCTTCTTGTTTGACCCTCAACTGCCCTTCATTCCCTACATCTGTTCCACCTTTCCCCACCTCCACACCATCGCCTGGCTCTGCCACTGTCTCTCCACGCAGGCCGCCAAGACCCTCATACATGCGTTCATCACAGCCAGGCTCGACTATGCAAACTTCCTGCTTGTCATCCTCCCCAACTCCTCCCTCCACAGGCTGCAGATCATCCAGAACTCTGCAACCCATGTCCTCTCCCGCACCAGGCTCCATGACCCTATCACCCCCATCCTCGCCCGACTCCACTAGCTGCACATCACTCAGAGGATGAATTCCAAGGTCCTTGCCTTCATAGCCCTCCATGACCTTGCCTTCCCCCCACCTCCTAACCCCCTATCAACCTGTCCACTCCCTCCGCTCAGCGGACTCCATCCTGCTTCACATCCCCCACCTTGCCCGCCCCACCATTGGCGGATGGGCCTTCAGCATCTCTGCCCCCACCCTCTGGAACTCTATCCAACAGACCCTCCATTTTTCCCACTTCCTTGCCTCCTTCAAGATCTCTCTCAAGACCCTTCTCTTTGACCTAACTCTACCTTCCTCGCCCTCCACCCCTCCTGATCCCAACCATCAGCTTGGGTGAGCTCCCTGACTGTCCAGCGCCTTGGGATGTCCTCCTGATGTAAAAGGCACTATATAAATGTAATTTATTTTTGTTATGATGTAGTATCCATTACAGAAGCCTGGCTACAAGCTGGCATGACTGTGAGCTAAATATTCTAGGCTATAAGATCTTTAGAAAGGTCAGGGAAATTGGGAAAGGAGGAGGAGTAGCAATATTGATAAAAGACACAATTACAGCAATAGAAAGAAAGAATTTCATTGAGGATTATCAGGCCGTGTAAACATTATGGAAGAACAAAAAGGAGGCAAAACTCTGGTGGGAGTTGTCTACAGACCTCCAAAAGGTAGTGATAATGGGCCTAAAGGTAGTGAAGGGGGAGATGTATAAATACAGAGATCATGGAAACATGCAGCAAAAACAATGTGGTTGTTTTAATTTTCACAAAGACTGGGAGAGGTAGAATGGGTCAAGTAGGCAAGGCAATACATTTCTAGAATGTATTCAGAACAGCTTCTGGAACAATATGTTTCAGAACCGACAAGGGAACATGCCATACTAGATTTGGTGATGAGTGACAAAACAGAATTAGTTAACAATCTGATGGAAAGGAAACATCTCGCAAATAGTGACCATTATATGATTGAATTTGATATAAGGTTTGAGAGTCGCAAATCAAAATTTTAAATTTAAGCAAGGCAAACTTTGAAAGCTCTACTTGTGTAGTTCAACCATGGTTGACTAATGAGGTAAGAAGCAGCATCAAACTAAAAGAAAAGTCTTACACTAATGCAAGAAAAAGTGGAAAGTCAGCAGATTGGGAGACTTATAAAAAGCAACAAAGAAATACAAAGAAAGTAATAAGAGGTGCAAAAAGGAATATGAGATAAAAGTTGTAAGGGCAACAGTAAAGTTTTTATAAATATATTAAGAGAAAGAGAGTGGTAATGGGGGAATGTGGGCCCATTAAAGACAGATGTAGGTGAGACTATACTGGACAATAAGAAAATGGCAGGCTTGTTGAATGAATACTTTGCTTCCAGTTTTCATAGTAGAGGAAGAGGACAAAATACCAACGGTACAAGGGAACCTAAAAATAAGCCAAAGAGAAGTACTAAATGGATTAATATAAATTTAAAAATGCTAATGGAGAAAATAATGGGCCTAAAGATAGACAAACCTCCAGGACTTGATGGATTCCAACCCAGGGTATTAAAAAAAAGTAGTAGAGGAAAATCCAGATGCATTAGTCATAATTTTCCAAAGCTCTCTATATTTGGGAATTGTGCCCTTGGATTGGAGAATTGCAAATGTCACTCCATTATTTAAGAAGGGAAAGAGGGAGAAACCACATAACTAGAGACCTGGCATCTTCAGTTGTGGGGAAGTTACTGGAATCTCTCATCAGGGACAGAGGGACTGAGCACTTAGACAAGTTTGAGTGAATCAAAGAGAGTCTGCATGGATTTGTGAAGGGTAGGTCATATTTGGCAAATATAATTGAATTTTTTGAGGAGGTCACTAACATGGATAAAAGAGTGTCTGTGGATGTCATTTGCATGGACTTCCAGAAGGCATTTGATAAGGTTCCACAAAAGAGGCTATTTGCAAAAATAAAAGCGCATGAAATCGGAGGTAATCATGCGACGTCACTTGGTAGTTGGTTGGGAGGCAGGAAATAGATTAGGGAATAAAAGGAACGTTCTCTGATTGGTGGGACGTGACAAGTGGCGTTCCAGAGGGGTTTGTACTGGGGCCTCAGCTTTTCACCAGATATATAATATATATTAAAAAAGTCTTCGTAAAGGAATAGGAAGTTTCATGTGCAAATTTGCAGATGACACAAAGTTAGGAGATACAGTAAATTGTGTAGATGGGAGCAGGAAAGGTACAAGGGACTGAGAAATTTTAAGTGAATGGACAAAACTTGCAGATGGAATTCAATGTGGGAGAAGTGTGAGGTCATCCACATTTTGGTTATCCAAAAATAGCAACACAATATTTTCTAAATAGTGAGAAATTAAGAACTGTGGAGTAACAACAGGATTTGGGTGTCCATGTACACAAATCACTAAAAACAAGCTCACAAGTACAAAACTTTATAAAAAAAGCTAATGGGATGTTGGCCTTCATCTCAAAGGGCTGGAATATAAAGGAGAGGAAATGATGCTTTAACTGTATAGAGCCTTAGTCAGACCCCAATTGGAGTATTGTGTTCAGTTTGGGCACTGCACCTCAGGAAGAATATATTGGCACCGGAGGGGGTGCAGTGCAAGTTCACCAGAATGATACCAGGGCATAAAGGGTTAAATTATGAGTCAGGTTGCAAAAACTTGGTCTCTATTCCCTTGAGTTTAGAAGGTTGAGAGGTGATCTGATTGAAGTTTTCAAAATAATAAAGGATTCGATAGGGCAGATACAGAGAAACTATTTCCTCTGGTGGGGGAATCCAGAACAAGGGGACATTATCTTAAAATTAGAGCTATGTCATTTAGGAGTGAAATCAGGAGACAGTTTTTCACCCAAAGAGTAGTGGAAATCTGGAACTGTCTCTCCCCAAAAGGTTGTGGTTGCTGGAAACATTCACATCTTCAAGACTTAGATGGATAGATATTTGTTAGGTCAGGGTATTAAGGGATACGGGGCAAGGGCAGATAATTGGACTTGAGATACAGATCAGCCACGATCTTATAGACTCGAGGGGCTGAATGGTGTACTGCTGTTTCTGTGTGACCCTCATTATGTGACCCTCACTATTTGACCCTCACTGTGTGATCCAGGCTGTGTAAGACCCAACAACTGCCATTAACCCTTCACATTCCAATTGCATGGCTGACTAGCAATCACAGCTCTTTGTTAACAGTTGGAAGCTCTTTCTCCCCATTGCCATTCACTCAGTGCAGAACACGGCTGATACATACATGTCCAGGTTTTTCAATGAGAAAGGCTGAGAAGAGAAGCGCAGGTAACAGTCCTTATAGAACCAGATGGTCACGGGGTTCCAGTCCGTCACCAGGAACCACTGGCGCACGTCAAATTTTGTCCCATAAATAAGCAGTGGGTTTTCAATATATTTCTGCACCACCCACTTGCCCTCTGAAAAGATGCTTGCTTCCCCGCAGACAACCTTCAGGATCTCCTCTAACCGGTTCATGCAGGTAATTCCTAGAGGGAAACACACAGAAACTCCCTTCTCTTTTCAAATAAATAAAATATCTGCTTACAGGCAGACAGAACCTGTGGAGTCCTGTAGCTCAGTGGTTAGAGCACTCGCTTTGCAAGCGAGAGACCTGAGTTCATATCCAGGCAGGGCGAAACCTTGGGCAAGTTTCCTTACTCCACACGCCTAATAATAATCCCTCCAAAACCAAAAACAATAACAAATTTGTCATTTTCAATCTACGACTGTTTGTGGGACATTGCTGTGCGCAATTGGCTGCCGCGTTCGCCCACAAATATACAGTCAATTCACTTTACAGTGTGTTCTGTGAAGCGCTTTGGGACGTCCTCCCGACGTGAAAAGCGCTATATCAAATACAAGGATTATTATTATAGGATTATTATTGGTTTAACATATCATGGGAAGGACAACCTCTCTCTCACAATGCAGAGTTCCTCCAGTATTGTACTGGTGTGAATTCTGAATTTAGAGTCCTGGCTTGGGGCTCAAACCCACAACTTTCATCAACAACAACTTGCATTTACACAGCGCCCTTCGTGCAGGGCAGGGTCTCGGAGCGCTTAGCAATGGTGGAGCCTAATGCTGAGCTAGGGGGAGGGAGGAGGTAACCATATGCACAGTTGAAGAGGTAGGTCTTGAATCATGATCTAAAAGAGGGGAAAGAGGGGGCAAAGCAGAGGGATTGGGGGAGAGAGTTCCAAACATTCATTGCGCAATGGCTGAAAATGCGACGCTGATGGTGGAGCGACGGGAATGAGGTGCAAGCAGTGGTGGGGGAAAAAGTTTTATTTTGGGTGAGAGTATGGGCGGCGGAGTTCTGAATCAGTTGTAGATTGTGGGTAGAGGAATAGGTGAGACCTGTGAGGAGGGCATTGCAGTAGTTAGGGTGAGTCGTTTTTTACCTGTGATGGGGATGAGGTACGTCAGACACAGGCAATGTGACAGAGGTGGAGGAAAGCAGTCTTAGTTAGGGATTGAATGTGGGGCTGGGGAAGGACAGTTGGGGGTCAAACCTGATACCCAGGTTATGTACAGGTTTGTTAAGTTTTAGGGAAAGGCCAGAGAGGTTGAGGAGGTCAGAAGCCACAGGAGAGTAAATGTTGGCAGGAGCCAAGTGGTATAGGCTTCCATCTTGTCAATGTTCAGCTGTAGGAAGTTTGCGCTCATCCAGGCCTAGATGTTTTACAGACAAGCTGACAGAACATCAGTAGACCTGGAATTGCAGCTGGTTGTGGTAGACTTGAGTGTCATCCACATACATATCAAAGTTTACCCCATGTCTGTGGATGAGATCACCGAGAGGGAGCATGTAGATAAGGAAAAGGAGGGGGCCAAGGATGGAATCTTGGGGTACACTGCAGGTTAGTGTGCGGGCTTGGGAGGAAAAAACATTTTTGGAGATGAAGTAATGAGGATTGGTTAAGTAGGACTCAAACCAGGCAAGTTCGGCCCCACTGAGGTGGATGAGGGAGAGGCGATGGAGGAGGATAGTGTGATTGACTATGTCAAATATAGCAGAGAGGAGGACAAGGAAGCAGAGGGAGCCCTTGTCACAGAGAGAGGACGTAATTTGTGACTGACGAGCGCTGTCTCTATGCTGTTGCCAGGGCGGAACCAAGACTGGAACTGCAGTAGGGAGTGGAGGGACAGGTGTGATCAAAGTTGATTTGCAACAATGGATGATCCAGAACATTAGCAAGGAAAGGCAATTTGGAAATGGGCTGGTAGGTTCGAGAGATCGAGGGTGATTTTTTGATTTTGATTTTGGTTTTGAGGGTCAATGGGACGGAGCCTATGGAGAGAGACTGGTTGACTGTTTCAGCTAGCAGGGGGCAGAGGAGGGGGAGTTGAGTGACCAAAAGCTGGGTGGGGAGGGGGTTAGAACCAGCAAGTGGTGGGCTTCGTATTGGTAATGATGGAAGAGAGAGAGTGGAAGGAGAAATGGAGGCAAAGGGTGGGACAATGGTAGGAGCTGTGGTGGAAGGAGTAGGTGATGTGGAAGGCAGCCAGGTGGATATTATCTATCTTGGATATGAAGAAGTCCAGGACCTCTTCACACTTGGCGTTTGATGTAAGGATCAAATGCCAAGTGCGAAGTGCAGCACCTTCAGCCTTCACTGATGCGCAGCACCACCTAAAACACACTGAGTCATGGAGTAGTATGTTAACAATATGGATACTGCTTGCATTTTAAAGTAACTTATCACGTTGAAATGTCTCAAAGTGCTTCATTATCAACAACAATAAAATTATATTTGTATGGTGCCTTTCACGTTGGGAGGACATCCCAAGGCGCTGAACAATCAGTGTTTTGGACCTGAGCTTGGGATTGGGGAAGGTGGAGGGCAGGGGGGGCAGGAGGGTGATCGAAGGCATGGTCGAAGAGTAGAGTCTTGAGACGGGTCTTGAAGGAATCAAGAGAAGGGGTGAGCAGAGGGACTGTGGGATGGAGTTCCAGAGTGTGGGGGCAGGGTGGCCAAAGGCCTGCCCGCCTTTGCACAATTGGCTGCTGCGTTTTGCCAACAAATATAGTTTACAGTATAGTCTGTGAAGCGCTTTGAGACATCTAAAAGACGTGAAAAAAGTGCTATATCAAATGCAAGGATTATTATTATTATGGTGGGGCAGATGAGGCGGGGGACGTGAAGCAGGCCAGAGCGGGCAGGTTGGTAGGGGGTTAGGAGGTCACAGAGGTAGAGGAAACAAGGCCATGGAGGGCTTTGAAGGTGTGGACCAGGATCTTGAACTGTATCCTCAGTGTGATGGGAAGCCAGTGAAGTTGGGCGAGGATGGGGGTGATAGAGTCACGAAGCCTGATTCGGGAGAGGACACGGGCTGCAAGTGACTACTTTTATAGGCAAAGGCCAATTGTGCCAGATAGATCCCACAAACAGCAAATTCACAAGTTGAATAAGTAGTTCATTTGGAGGACAGTTGCCAGATCACTGGGTGTAAATCCTGAATGATGTCATAAAATTATTACCGTCCACCCGAGGAATAGGCAGAAAGATCCTTAGTGTAAAACCCAAAGGACGAGCCGAGTCTGTAAGTTCAAATCCTGGCAAGGGGCTTGAACCTACATCCTTCAGACACAGAGAAGTGAGTGCTACAGACAGTACCAAACTAATACCCAAGGACAGACTGAGCTCCTGAAACTCTGCCATCAGGAAGGAGAAGTGGGTATGATCTGGGAGGAAGGACAGCCATAGCTTACAGCAAAGCAAGCCAAAACCCTAGGTAGGGTGGTCCTCGCTGGACAAGTAGCAGGAAATCTTGCTAGACAGTGCTCTCAATGGCAAGCTATGCAGCTTCAGCTGGTTATACTCCAGCAATGAACACTCTGGGCCTCCAATCCTTGGTTTTTGACAACCTGCAACTAATACTCTCCAGAATTAGGTAAGCAGGGTGCGTCCCTCCAGGGAGAGAGTACACACTCCATTCCAGACACAGGGAAATTTCCGTGTGTAGGTGGCATACATGGAACTCTCAGTCTGTTTGGATACTCTTGAGCATAGTGATGGATCTCTGCACGTGTCAGACCAAAAATCCTCAAAGTAGCTCAACTCCCTTGAACTGAAGCGGACTGGATTGAGTCCTGTGGAGTAGGCAGGGACTGGGGCTCACAGGTTTGGTTCTTGTGTTGAGGATGTCTTTCTGTACCTCTGCCACGGGACTGGGCTCCAGGTTTCACAATCCAGATGTTATGCATTCCCTCCATATCCATCTGTGGGCTGGCCGCCTGCAGCTGCCGGAGGATATGCGTACACACGCCCACGTAACTGCTCCAGTCCTGAATCATCGCTCCGTTACTGACAATATAATAGGTCATGCTTAGAGAATGGCTTTCACATCAGGAGCTTCACACTGCGCGTGGGAGGGGGGACTTCAATTTGGAAAGTGTCGCCCAGAAAGCCATTGACAAGAATCAATTACCGATCACCGGATCTGGCCCTCCCCCAGCAACAGCTGAATCTGAGGGATCTTGGACTGAATAGTATTTCACCCCCATAGAATGGCAACCCAACTAAAGGAAACCAGACACCAGGTCGGAGGTTGGGAGGTGCCAGGGTATGAAGTGATTTGTAGATGAGTGTGAGGTTCTTGAAATCGCTCCATTCTGTGGCAGGGAGCCAGTGCAGCCTGGCAATGGCTCAGGTGATGTGGGTGCAGAGTTTGATACAGGCGTGGAACGCACAATGGAGTTTTGAATTGGTGAGACTTTGTGACTAATGGAAGTGGGTAGACCGCTGTGGAGGGCATTGGGGAAATAAAAACTGGAGATTATGCAAGTGTGGATAAGGGTTTCAGCTGCATTGGCTGGGAGGTACGGTTGGTGGTGAGCGATGTAACGGGGGTGGTGGAAAGCAGTCCTGGGTTAGGAAGTGGATTGAACCTGATGCACAACAAGAACAACTCGTTTATATAGCACCCATCATGCAGGATAGCATCTTGATTTTAAAAAAATTGACAGATGAGTGTAGCTGTTAACCTGGTGCTAACTCAGGCATTGGGAGAAATTGTGTGTGATTTATACAGTATTCCTGGTCCTCAAGCACTATAGGTCTCAGTCTGACGTTACAGTTCCTGTGATGGATGCAGAGGTGATTGAACATGTGGTAACTCACTGAATGACCTGGTAGTATTGCTGGATGATCCTGTCCCAGCACTCCTCTGTTATTGCTGGTGGGGCATCCAGGCTCACATCAATGTCCTTGTGCTCCAAGTAGTTCAGGTGCTCCTCGCAGGCGAGGACTGCTGTCTGCACCAGCTGTGATGAAATGACAACACAGCACTGCTTTTCTATACCTTGAGAGATTAAAGGGAGGATAATAAGAAGACAAAAGATAGAAACATGTCCGGTTTCTCAGCACCACATCACAGGATTGGGTCGGAAGAAAAAGGCCCTTTGACCCACCTGATCTCATCCTTCCTGAACACCCAACCTACCATGCCCCCCTCAAAGCATCAAGCTGCTTTTTAAATGAATCCTAATTCCTGGCCTCAACTACCCTTCCTGGCAACCCTATTCCTCTGAATAATCAAAATCTTCCTGTTGCCTGTCCTGCAATTGTCCTTTACAACTCTAACCTGTGGCTTTTTTCTACCTTCTCAGCTAATCTCAAGTATAGTATTGATCTGGGTTTAATTTTTCAATCCATTTAACATTTTATACACCTCTATGAAGTGCCCTCTGAGTCGTCCTGTCTTTTCAAGGTTAGCCGCAGCACAGGTCAGATGCAGAATAAGCTCCCCTTCATCATCATCAAATTACATTTGTATAGTGCCTTTCACGTCGGGAAGACATCTCAAGGTGCTGGACATTCCTCTGAATTTGGACCCAAGCAGGGGGTTCGATTCAGGAGTGGTGGATAGAAGGGAGGGTAGGGGTAGGAGAGTGGCCGAAGAGGAGGGTCTTGAGACGTGCCTTGAAGGAGGCAAGGGAGGGAGTAAGGCGAAGGGACTGTGGGATGGAGTTCCAAAGGGTGGTGGTCGTGGAGCAGGTAGGAGTCTACTGAGTGGAAGGAGCGGGCAGGTTGATAAGGTCAGTTGCAGGTCGGAGAGATAGGAGGGGCAAGGCCTTGAAGATGAGGGTAAGAATCATCTGAGGAATGGGGAGCCAGTGGAGCCGGGTGACGGTAAGTGTGAGCCTGGTGTGCGAGAGGACATGAGCTGCAGAGTTCTGGATGATCTGCAGCGTGTGGAGGGAAGAATTGGGAAGAACGACAAACAGGGCATTGTCGAGCCAAGATGTAATGAAGGCATGTATGAGGGTTTCGGTGGCCTAAGGGGTGTGGCAGAGCCAGGCAATGTTGCGAAGGTGGGGGAAGGAAGAGTGGGTCCTGGCGGATTTGGATTTGGGGTAGAAAGGACAGTTGAGGGTCAAACAAGATGCCAAGGTACCGGACTGGCTCAATGAGGTGGAGAGTGCATCCATGAATGGTGATGTTGTCAGCGTCTGAGGTGTGGAGGTGCTGACAGGAGCCAATCTGGAGGGTCTTGTTCTTGTTGATGTTCAACTGGTGGAGTCCTGTAGTTCAGTGTGGAGTCCTGTAGTTCAGTGGTTAGAGCACTCGCTTTGGAAGCGAGAGACCTGAGTTCAATCCCAGGCAGAGGGCGAAACCTTGGGCAAGTTTCCTTACTCCACACAGAGCCTAATAATAATCCCTCCAAAAACAATAATAAATTGGTCATTTTCAATCCACGACTGTTTGTGGGACATCGCTGTGCGCAATTAGCTGCCACGTTCGCCCACAAACATACAGTCAATTCACTTTACACTGTGTTCTGTGAAGCGCTTTGGGACGTCCTCCCGACGTGAAAAGCGCTATATCAAATGCAAGGATTATTATTATTATTATTATTATAACTGGAGAAAATTGGCTCTCATCCAGGACTTGATGTCTGACCAACATTTTGTCAGGACAGCAGTGGTCCTAGAGATGAGAATGGAGGCATAGAGTCTGTGCTGGCTCTTTGAAAAGAGCTACCCAAATCAATTCCATTCCCGCTCTCCCCATAGCCCTGCAAACTTGTTCTCCCCAAATAATTATCTACTTCTCTCTTAAAAGTTATCGAATAGGCTTCCACCATCCTTTCAGGCAATGCATTCTAGATCCAAACAACTCGCTGTGTGAAAAAATTCTCCTCACCTCCCCTCTATTTCTTTTAACAACTATTTTAAATCGGTGTCCTCGGGTTACCGACCCACCTCCAGTGGAAATAGTTTCTCCTTGTTCATCCTATTGAATCCCCTTATAATTTTGAAACTTATATTAAGTCTCCTCTTAACGTTCTCTGCTCCAAGGAGAATAATCCTAGCTTCTCTATCCTCTCCTAATAACTGAAGTCCCTCAGTCCTGGTACCATCCTGGTAAATCTCTTTTGCACCCTCTCCAATGCCTTGACATCCTTCCTAGAACTGAACACAGTACTCTAGCGGATGATGTCACCAAGAGGGAGGTTAAAGAGAAGAGGACAGAGCCCTGAAGAACACCACACAAGATGGTGCGGGGGCTGGAGGAGAAGCCGTTTGTGGAGATTGTTTGAAAGGTAGCATCTGAACCAGTGAAGGACAGGAGCATGAAAGTTGAGGTGAGAGGAGAGGTGGTGGAGGAGCATAGACTGGTCGACAGTGTCCAAGACAGCAGAAAGGTCAAGGAGGACGAGGAGACAGAGTGAGCCCTGGTCACAGATGGACAAAATGTCATTTGTCACTTTGACCAGGGCTGTTTCTGTGCTGTGAGCTCGATCGGAGGGGGTCATAGAGGGAGTGGCAGGAGAGAAAGGAGCGAAGCTGGGAAGCAATGGCTTTCCAGGAGTTTGGAAAGGAAAGGGAGGTGCTGACGTCCCAGGTAATCACCAGATCAAGTGGGTGGTTATGGATGTGGGTAGGAGAGTGGATGTGGAGGGAGAGGTTGTGAGAGGAGAGAAGGGAGGAGATCAGTGGAGCTAGAGTTAGAGGGGGTGAAGTGCAGGTTGAAGTCGCCAAGGATAAGGAAATGTGCCTCATCTCCAACCTCAAAAATCTTCCTCCCACTGGACAGGTTTTCCAAAAATGTTGCCCATTGTAAGCAGTGTTTAGCGATGGAACAACCCTACCAGGAAGCAGATTGAGGTACCTGAACACCTTTCACGTGGGATCTTTATAGACATGAGAGAAGAGGAGTGAATTCAGCCATGCCCTAAGAGGAGGGTGCTGTCACTGACTGCTTCCCATTGGCCCCTACCTTGTTTAATAATAACCACAATAATAACAAGCATTATATAGTGCTTTTCATGTCAAATAAAATGTCTATCAAGAATTTCCCAAAATATAATATATAATCCTTACATTTAATATGGCGCTTCTCATGCCTCACAAGGTGATTCATAGGACTTGTTGTAAAGAGTGACTGTAATTTGTCGAAGAGTGTGGCAGCAAATTTGCACGCAGCAACGCCCTAATTCTTATATTTGATTGTATATTTTTGATTGGAAATGAAAGTGTACATTGTCAAATATGAAAATGCAGAAGCCCCAGTTATCTTCCCCAGTGACATCCCCTAAATAGCAAGATCAACCATCAATTTGAATTTGGGGTAAATTTAGATGGGAGGGGGTTATAAACCAGGATACTCGAAAGAGAGAGAGAGAGAAAGAGAGAATGAAATAGCAATGACAGAATTCCCTTTACACCACATGAATCACCAGCCAGACAAAATCTAATTAATTATAAAATGAATAATGTAACTATTAATGATCCCCCTTCTCCAATAAAGGTTATCATGTTGGTCATAGTTCAGTCAATATCGTGTGTCAAAGTGAACAAGGTGGGCTGTGATCTTGTCTACCAGTGAGATGTTTGCCTTTAAGTGTGTTCCCTCCTCTCTTGTACCTTTTTTTCCAGAAGATACAGATTCCTCCTTTTGATTCTTATTCTCCGTGAGAATATGATCATTCTTCTTCTTCTGTTCCACAACCCACTTCAGAATGTTTCTGGCTGTTGTCAGTCGGAAATCCTCTGAAGAATTCAATGAAGGGGTCCATTCATATAATTATTTATAATATAAAGATAATACATATAATTATCCTAATGATTATTTATAATATAAGCATCACTGTGCACTGCCTTGGGACGTCCTTCTGATGTAAGAGGCACTATATAAATGTAATTTATTATTATTAATACTCCATTAACACTGCCTATTAATACTCCATTAACATATCCATTAATACCCACACTGGCTATTAATTCCCACACTGTCCATTAATACTTCATTAACACTATCCATTATTAATAATAATGTTTGCATTTGAGAGTCTCAAAGCGTTTCACAGAATATACTGTAAAGTGAATTGACTATATTTTGTGGGCGAAATATGGCGGCCAATTGCACACAGCAGTGTCACACAAACAGTCATAGACTGAAGTGACCAATTTATTGTTTTTTTTTGAAGGAATTATTGCCCCAGCTGCATGTGGAGAAAGGAAATTTGCCCAACATTTTGCCCTGCTGGGAATTGAACCCAGGTCTCTCACTTGCAAGGCGAGTGCTCTAACCAGGACTCCACGAATACCCACACACTGTCCATTAATTCCCACAATGTCCATTAATACGTCATTAACACTGCATTAATACCGACACACTGTCCATTAATACCCACATGGTCAATTAATACTCCAGTAACACTAGCCATGAATATCTCACACTGTCTCATCACAATACTTAACAGTATCCAAACCAAATTGAGAATTCCATGGATCCCAACTACAAATGAAAATTACCAAGATATTTATTGCAAGGGAATGCCTATTCTATCTCTGGAGGTATGCATCCTGCTTATTATTATTGGTTCTGGAGAGTATTAGGCGCAGGTTGGCAAGAACCAATGCTTGGGGATCCCAGAGTGTGCATTGAGGTAACTGCTGGAGTCTAACCAGCTAAAACCGACTAGCTTGCTATTGAAAGCACTGTCTGGCAAGCTTTCTCACTGCTTGTCCAGCTAGGACCAACCGAGCCGTTAGGGCTTTGGCTTGCAGGATTAACAGGAGCTGAGTGGGTGGATTCCCTGCCCCAGTGACTGGAGTGCCCATCGAAGTCCTACCGATGAGCCAGGCTGGCAGTGCTGTCATCAGCAGTGCCCTGGAATACTGTGGACCCCCTGTTTTAGGCATCGGACTAGAGATCACCACAGAAGACTGGCTTGATTCTGAAACCCTGTTGGCAAACATGTCACCTTGGATCCAATTCAGCTCCAAGGAGACTTCTCAGCTTGGCTTCTCTCCCTCCCGAAGAAGATATCTCCCATTACTATCCCTCCTTAACATCTCACATACTGTCCTGTTAATATCCCCTAGCATGTCTGAATAATGTTGCCTTGTTCTAGTATAAATCCTCTATGCTGACTGAACAAGTAATGTACCGATAAACGCTTGCTTTTCCTCTGCCGCTGCCAGCCTGTAGCATCTTGGGAAGAATATGTCTGGATTCACCTGGTGGAACCACTGGAAGTTTCGCAGATTTACACAGAGCCCCGCCTGGAGACCAATAATAGAAGAGTTACACACACCAAGAAATTGCCACACAGTATGAAAGACTGAGTGCTATGCAGCCTGTCAGTGGAGCCAGGTGAGGATATAGGGTTACGGAGCCTGGTGCAGGAGAGGTCACAAGTTGCAGAGTTCTGGATGATCTGCAGCATGTGGAGGGAAGAGATGCGAAGGCCGACAAGCAGGGACTTGGCATCGTTGACCCTAGAATGAATGAATGCATGGATGAGGGTCTCAGCAGCCTGAGGGGAAAGGCAGTGGCGGAGCCGGGCATTGTTGTGGAGGTGTGGGAATGGGTAGAATGTGGGGTAGAAAGGACAGTTGAGGGGCAACAAGATGCCAATGTTCCGGACTGGCTCAGTGAGGTGGATGCAATAGAGTGCATCCATGGATTCTGCCAGTACTTGTGTGGAGGCACTGATGGGTGCCAATCAGGAGAGCCTCGGACTCATTGACATTCAGCTGGAGAAAGCTAACTCTCATTCAGGACTTGATATCTGACAGACAGTTGAGTGGGGAGGCAGAGAGATAGAGTTGGGTGTCATCCACATACATGTGGAAGTTGACCTATATCTGTGGGTGTTGCCAGCATAGATACTCTCCATAACAACAACAACAAAATTACATTTGTATACTGCCTTTCACGTCAGGAGGACGTCCCTAGGTGCTGGACAATAAAATCTTACCTTGATATAAAGAGTGGACTCAGAGAAGAGTGACAACTTTGATTTAGGGCAGAAACAGGGTTCTGGGTTATGATGCGAGCCCCACAGAGGCTGTGCATACTTTTACTGAGAGGAGACATGATCCAGGTTGGTAAAATGCTGAGGTGTCAATTTCAATGTAAGGTGTTTTGACTTATACAGCAGAACTTGAGGTTTAAAAAAAGTAAAGATGATTTATTTCTCAGAGTATTGTTCACAAGAAAAAGGCTTCCAGCAGAAGAGAACTGTATACAGGCTGACTTCAGTATAACGAATGCCCTGGGGACTTGGGGGGAAAGAGCATTATATCCGGGTGTTTGCTATAAAGATTTAGATACAGTACTGAAACAACAGCAGCAACAACTTGTACTTGTGTACTGATGTATCCAAGCAGGGTCGCATCTCAGAGTGCTTAACAGTGGCGGAGCTTGACTGAGTTGGAGGAAAGGGGGAGATGGCCGTAAGCACAGTAGAACAGGAAAGTTTTCAGGCGGGACTTGAAAGAGGGGAGAGAGGATGCAAGGCGGAAGGATTGAGGGAGAGTGTTCCAGAGTTTTGGGGCGTAGTGGCTGAAAGCACGACTCCGATGGTGGGGCGGAGCATGCAAGAGACGAGCAGGAGACCAGTGCCAGTTGAACGGAGGCGCTGGGTGGTGGAATGAGGAGGTCGGAGAGGTAGGGAGGTGCCAAGGAGTGAATGGATTTGAACACGAGAGTGAGGATCTTGAAATTGTTCCATTCAGTGATGGGATGCCAGTGAAGCCTGGCCAGAATTGTGAGATGTGGTTATGGAGTTTGGTCTGGGTCAGTATGTGGGCAGCAGAGTTTTGAATGAGCTGGATCTTGTGAATGGTGGAGCTGGGCAGACCGTCGAGAAGTGCATTGGAGAAATCCAAGCGGGAGGTGCACGAGGGTTTTGGCTACATTTGGGATAAGGTATGGTCAGAGGCGGTGGTGTGGCGGAGGTGGAAGAAAGTGGTCCTGGTCAGGGACCGAATGAGGAGAGGAAGGTCAGTTGGGGGTTGAACCGGATGCCTAGGTTGTGCACTGGTTCAGTGAATCTGAGGGAGAGCCCAGGGAGGTTGAGGAGTTTAGATCCTTAGAAATGGCCAAGCGTTACACATAGTGAGCAGGTGCTTGTGGTGAGGGGGCTGCGCGAGCCAGAGCTCGGATCGCCCTCCAACCCAATTGCAGTTCCCGTGTGATTGACTGGCAAACACCTTCGTCATTTATCCCCCCCTCACCGCCATTTTGAATTGATTGCAGACCATTATATCAGGAGCTGCGCTGCTGCAATGATCGCTGATCAGGGAAAGAATCACTAGGAAAGAACAAAAGGGTCTCAATGTCGATTTCACTGTAACCAGAGGAATCATAATAGCTAGGGGTCATTATACAGAGGTCGACCTGTAAATATCTGGTTGAAAATTATATTGCTGGAGGAGAATGGTTCCCAAGACATACTGGTTTCTGAGTGAGATGTTGAGATTATGAATTAATAGTCACATAATTAAGTATCAGGCGATTTGGGACTTGCAACCCATCGTGAAAGACACTATGTAAATTGTATTGAGAAGGATAAGTTCTGTGTTTGGTTTATATTTGAGGAAAATATGTACTCAGAACTTTATTAGAGGAGTCAGTCAACAGGGCGCAGTCTGCAAGAGGATAGGATTTAGAGGGTTGTGGATGGAGTGGGATGTGTATGGCCTTTTCTCTTTCCACTTTATATTTACAGCACATTCTACTTTAGTGATATTATGGATAATGCCTGATGTGCTGATACTTGATGTGGCAGAGCCAGATGATATATGGAGAGTAACCTTACCTTGGTGGTGAAAGAACCAGCTCCGACATAATGATTAATCATCTGATCCTTGAGCAGATTCTGAACTTCAGTCATGTTGATGACAGTCGTCCAGATGAAATATGGGGCATCATGTTTCAACAGTCGGGACTGCAACAACAATGGCGATATAATGCAAATATAAATCATCCTTGCACTTGATGTAATGCCTTATCACATCAAAACATCTCTAAGTGCAGCACAGTTCTTTTTTCAAGTGATAAGTGTTTTACAGAAATGTTTTTCTGTAAAATCTGCAGAGGCAAATAGAGCAGTCAATTCTTGCAAACGGTTTTCCCCAAAAGATCCATGAAGTGAATATCTGGGGAATTGTTTGCCAGAATATCTGAAGAAGCTCCCTTTTCTTATAATAAAAAATCGCTACATTTGATATTATGCATTTAATGTTAGAAAGACTACTCAAAGCTCTTCATGCGATTTTTACTATAAACTGTAGGGATTGTACTTTGTATGGGAACATGGCAAACATTTTGTGCATAGCAATGTCCAAACAGCTATTATAATAATAATCCTTGCATTTGATATAGCGCTTTTCACATCTTCTAGACATCTCAAAACGCTTCCCAGAATAGGCTGTAAAGTGAATTGAATGTATATTTTGGGGCGAAATGCGGCAGCCAATTGCACACAGCAGTGTCCCACAAATAATCATGGAATGAAGTGACCAATTTTTTTTCTTGAGGGATTATTATCAGGCGTGTGGAGTAAGGAAACTCAAAGTTTCACCCTGCCGGGAATCGAACCCAGGTCTCTCACTTGCAAAGCAAGTGCTCTAACCACTGAGCTACAGGATTCCACGAATTGAAGTGAATGACCAATTTTATTTGGGAGACTATTGGCCAGGATACTAGGAGAACCACTTCTATTTGAGAAATTAGTGACTATCCTCCTGGGGGAAGGGGGGGAAGGAGCAGAAAAGAAATGTTGCAGTTTAAGGGATTTGATAATGAAGGGGATCGATGGTATCCTCTGCAGTTGTGATCAAAAGTCCAGGAAGGTTTGTTGCCAGAGTAAGGGATATTTTGAAGCAGCTGGAATGAAATTTAGAAAGGGAGGGGAAAGGACCAGTTGTCGTGATCGATGTCGGAACCAGCGACATTGGAAAGAATAGGAAGGGGGTCCTACTAAAGGAGTATCGAGCTAGGAGCTGAATTAAAAAACAGGATCTCGAGCGAGGTAATCTCTGCATTACTACCTGAGCCATAGATAAATTATCTGGACTTGGGTATAGCAAGTACCAGTTCCAAGTTTGTGGACGACACAAAGTTAGGTTGGGTGGTAAACAGTGAGCAGGATAGGAGCCAACTGAAGGAAGACGTAGACAGAATGGTAAAATGGGCAGACACATGGCAGATGAGTTCCAATGTAGAGAAATGCGAAGTAATGCATTTTGGTAGAACGAATGAGGGGAGGCAATACAGGCTGGTAATACAATCTTAAGAGGGGTAAAAGAACAGAGAGACCTGGGGGTGCAGGTAAATGAATCCTTGAAGGTGGCAGGACAGGTAGATAAGGCTGTAAAAAGAGCAAATGGGATTCTAGGCTTTATAAATAGGGGCATAGAGTACAAGAGTCAAAGGTTATGATTAACCGATATAAAACACTGGTTAGGCCTCAGTTAGAATACTGCGCCCAGTTCTGGGCACCGCACTATAGGAAGGATGTTAAGGCATTGGAAAGAGTGCAGAGGAGATTTACAAGAATGGTACCAGGAATGAGGGACCTTGATTATGAGGAAAGGGTAGAGAGGAGAGGATTATTCTCATTGGAGCAGAGAAGGTTACGAGGAGACCTAATAGAGGTCTTCAAAATCATGAGGGGATTTGATAGGTTAGAAAGGGAAAAACTGTTTCCACTGGTCGGTGTGTCGGTAACTCGAGGTCACAGATTCAAAATAATTTCTAAAAGAAGCAGAGGGGAGGTGAGAAGACATTTTTTCACGCAGCGAGTTGTTCGAATCTGGAACGCATTGCCTGAAAGGGTGTCGAGGCCGATTCGATAACAACTTTTAAAAACGCGGTGGACAGGTATTTGAGGAGGACAGGTTTGCAGGGTTATGGGGAAAGGGCTGGGGAGTGGGGTTGACATTACATTGCTCTTTTCAAAGAGCCGGCCCGGCACAAACTCGGTGGGCCGAATGGCTTCTTTTTGTGCTGTACAATTCTATGATTTTATGATTCTATGATAGGCCATAGCCATATCCCATTGGCATAGGGATAAACAGATCAGAAAAGTCAATGAGCTATTATCGAATCGGCGTTCACCAACCTTTCAGGCAATGCATTCCAGATCCGAACAATTCGTTGTGTAAAAAAAATTTCTCCTCATCTCCCTTCTGTTTCCTTTAGCAACTATTTTAAATTGGTGCCCTCTAGTTACCGACCCACTGCCAGTGGAAATAGTCTCTCCTTGTTCACCCTATCGAATCCCCTCATAATTTTGAAAACTTCTATTCAGTCTCCTTTTAACCGTCTCTGCTCCAAGGAGAATAATCCTAGCTTCTCCAGCCTCTCCTGATAACTGAAGTCCCTCATTCCTGGTACCATCCTGGTAAATCTCCTCTGCACCCTCTCCAACGTCTTGACATCCTTCTTAAAGTGTGGTGTCCAGAATTGAACACAGTCTCTAGCTAAGGCCTAACCAGTGTTTTAAACAGATTCATCATAACTTCCTGTCTTTTGTATTCTATGCCCCTATTTATAAAGCCTAGTAACCCATATGCTTTTTTAACAGAGTGTCTATTCATGTCGCCAACATGAACGTTCAGAAGGCATTTGATAAAGTTCGCACAAGAGGTTATTAGCAAAAATGAAAGTGCATGGAATTAGAGGTAACCTTGTGACATGGATTGGCAGTTGGCTAGTTGGCTGGGATGCAGGAAACGTGACAAATGGTGTTCCCCAGGAGTCTGTACTGTACTGTTATTATCGAATTGGCTTCCACCACCCTTTCAAGCAATGTATTCCAGATCCGAACAACTCACTGTGTGGAAAAATTTCTCCTCACCTCCCCCACCCCCACTTTCTTTTAACAACTATTTTAAATCGGTGCCCTTGGGTTACCGACCAACCTGCCAGTGGAAATAGTTTCTCCTTGTTCACCCTATCGAATCCCCACATAATTTTGAAAACTTCTATTAAGTTAACCTTCTCTGCTCTAAGGAGAATAATCCCAGCTTCTCCAGACTCTCCTGATAACTGAAGTACTCCCTATACCCAAGGTCATTTATATAGATCAAAAAGAGCAGTGGTGCCAATACTTCCCCTGGGGGAAACTACTGCACACTATTTGCAATAATAGCAAAACAGAATATTTTTTAAATCGTGAGAAACTAAGAACTGTGGAGAAGCAGAGGGATTTGGGTGTCCACATACACAAATCACTCAAAACGAGTTAAATTTTGGGCACAGCACCTCAGGAAGGTGATACACACCATAACTATTGGCTCTGGAGGGGGTGCAGCGCAGATTCACCAGAATGATACCAGGGCGTAAAGGGTTAAATTATGAGTGCAGGTTGCATCAATTTTGGTCTGTATTCCCTTGAGTTTAGAAGGTTGAGAAGTAATCTAATTGAGGTTTTTAAAATAACAAAAGGATTCGACAGGGTAGCTACAGAGAAATTATTTGCTCTGATGGAGGAATCCAGAACATGGGGCATAATCTTAAAATTAGAGCTAGCCCATTTAGGAGTAAGGCAAGTTTGCTTTTTTTCACTCAAGGGTAGTGAAAATCTGGAACTCTCTCCTCCAAAAGGCTGTGGATACTGGATCCATTCAAATTTTCAAGATTAAGGTGGATTAGGTAAGGGTATCATGGTATATGGGGCAAGGGCGGATAATTGGAGTTGAGGTACAGGTCGTAGAATCATAGAATTACACGGAAGGAAGCCATTCGGTGCATCGTGTCTTTGAAAAGAGCTATCCAATTCAATCCCACTCCCTCGCCCTGCATTTTGTCCCTAAATAATTATTTACTTCTCTCTTAAAAGTTGTTAACGAACTGCCTTCAATTACCCTTTCAGGCAATGTATTCCAGATCCGAACAACTTGCTATGGGAAAATTTTCTCCTCATCTCCCCTCTGTTTCTTTTAACAACTATTTTAAAATCGGTGTTCTCGGATTACTGACCCACCCGCCAGTGGAAATAATTTCTTCTTGTTCACCCTATTGAATCCCAACATAACTTTGAAAACTTCCATTAAGTCTCCTCTTAACCTTCTCTACTCCAAGGAGAATAATTCTATAGCCTCTCCTGATAATTGAAGTCCCTCATTCCTGGTACCATCCTGGTAAATTTCCTTTGCACCCTCTCCAATGCCTTGACATCCTTCGTAAAGTGTGGTGCCCAGAACTGAACACAGTCTCTCGCTGAGGCCTAACCAGTGTTTTATAAAGTTTTTATAAAGATCAGCCTTGATCTTACAGAACGGTGGAACAGGCTTGAGGGGCTGAATGGCCTACTCCTTTTCCCTTGTTCCTTCTCCCTTCGTACACCCGTCTATTCCCTTCTCCCTCACACATGCATTGAGTTTCCTCTTATGTTGAACGGATCCTTCCCCCAGTCCTTAACAATCATAGATAACTGGGATGGAATGCTAAATTGCCATCCAATATTTATTGCATGAGCCCCATATCCATAATTGCTAGCAACCTACCCGAGGTCTGAAATTCCACCTTGTCTTAGCCTCTTTCATCTTAAAATGTAAGATTGTGTAAATCATTCAATTCATCTGAAGCTGTTTACAGGGATGCTTACCAATCTATTTTAGAAGTAGATTCATTTTAGGAAATACAATACTCCATTGATGGGATTCAACTTGTCAAGTATGAGGCAGCAATAAACGAGACGAACAGGATGCTGGGCTATTTTGCTAATCGTTGAGCTTAGATGTCCAGACATCACACTGTACAGTGCCCTGGTCAGGCTACACAGTGAACACAGCAGACAGCTCTGTCACTGTCACATAGGGGCTGCCCAGACCACAGAGACAGTGCAAACGAGAGGAACAAGGCTTATCTCAGTGTTAAGAGGAATGAGCTCTGAACAACGATTAGACAAGCTCGGGGTTCTTCAGTCTTGAGAGAAGAGTGTCAGGTCACCCCTTTTGTTTTCTATGCCTGTTTTAGGAATTTTACGTGACCGATTTCACAAACCAATCAAGGTGGTGAACCACATTAACCCAAAGGCTATTAAAATACTGGTATCAAGAGGATAGTACAACACTGTTTCAACATGTACAAAAAATCCACAGGAAGGGAGGGAGTGGCATTCAACTCAATCCCGTTCACCTTGTGGTGAAGACAAAGACCAGACCAAACAAGGAGCACCTCTGAATTTATCCCGTTCCTAGGAAGTGCTCTAGGGAGTGCTAACAGCAAAATGTTTTGTATAAGAGTTGCATGAACTTCCAGCGAGGTGGTGGTACAAAGGAATTTTACAAGGGAATCTTGTGATTTTTCTTGTGAATTATAGGAGCTAATGTTTTGATTGTCCTCAGCTGTATATTTTTAACATAGTTACGTATGATAAGTATGATGTAGTTTGAAAGAACACATTACACATTGAAAGCTAGACCTGTATCACAGAAAGATCAGATACCTCAAGCAGGAAGATAGCCAGCACTTAGTAAAGGAAGAGAGAGAGAGAGGCACTTTTATCGTGACCTTCTATCTCCAAGCACTTTGATAACAATCTCGCTTTTTGAAGCATTTTCATTATCAAGAGGGGGATATGTCACGGTCACCCCTTTTGTTTTCTATGCCTGTCTGTTGTTTAAATATATTGAGTAGTGCTTTACATACTTTTTAAAAATGCATTGAACATTTTTGATACTTATGGTGCCATAAGTCTGACTCTTGCATCAATTGCAACAATTTGGCGGGTAACTGACTATAATTTGCATAAGTGGTTAGGAAGGTGGAATGCTTCCCTCTTGGGTCACCTAACAGATGATTTTGATTGGACCATAAGAAAAGCACCAATTACATCAAGTAATTGGTACAATACAATTACCCTAATTTGCGGAGGGGCTCAATGCCTATAAAAGACTGAGCGCCATGTGCTCGTGGTCGCTATTTTTATACCTGATGACAACAAAGGTACGAGCTCTGACTATTGATGAGTTGTAGTCAGAGGTTGGTTCTTCGTGCACTTTACATTAACTTCATTACAAGTGGCTGCTAGCATGTGTAGTTTACGTGTGATTAATGTTTGTTATCTCATAGTTGTGTTTGTTGATATTTATCGTGTCGTTTAAGATTTAATGCAAAGGGTTTCATCAAAGTTACAATAAAATTCTGTTGAGCTAACTTAATAACCATGCTTAACTCAAGCTTTCTATATAAATCAAAGAAAGGGGGAATACACAAACAGGTTCAGCCTAGGTCACAGAGGTGTAAAATAAACCTCTGATTGAAGCTTCCCAATTTGCTTTAATTTAAATACAAATTGGTAGTACATGTTGTCGTGGAAGAACTCATTAGTCAAGTTACACCTAGTGAAAGGGGCTTGCATTCATTAGTGAGGATTGAACACAGAGGCTACCCAGTACACTGAGGGAGAGTGAGCCATATTGTGGATGTACATATAAGGGTGATAGAACCAACTCAAGAGCCTTAGCTTGTCTAATCATTGCTCATAGCTCCAGGGTAAGGTGACTCTTCATTATATCACCTGGATACCATGGATACCAAATCATTTTAATAATAATAATTTAGGATCTCCATTTTAATAATAATCCTTGCATTTGATATAGCGCCTTTACAATATATTCTCTGTGAAGTGCTTTTAGACGTCTCAATGACAGGATTCATTGAGATGTCTCAAAATGCATTACAGAATATATTGTCAAGTGGATTGACTATTTTGTGGGCAAAACGGGGCAACCAAATGCAAGTTTGGGGAGAGGGATGGAGGGGAAGTGGACAGACTCAAGCCTTTAGCCATAGCCCCAAACCCGTTGGGATATTTCTTTCCTTTTTATCCAAGATACATTACAACACAAAATTACATTTGTAAAGCGCCTTTCACATCGGTAGGACGTCCCAAGGCACTGAATTGTCAGGGATTAGGACCCGAGCGGGGATGGGGGTGGGATCAGGGAGGGTAGAGGGCAGAGAGGGTAGGATAGTGACCAAAGGCACGATCGAAGAGAAGGGTCTTGAGGCGTGCCTTGAAGGAGGCAAGGGATGGAGCGAGGTGAAGGGCATGTGGGATGAAGTTCCAGAGGGTGTGGGCAGAAAAGCTGAAGGCCCGTCCGCCAATGGTCTTGAGGGCTGGGCCGGGGAGAAGATCAGAGATTATTCATATCACTAAGGTAGAATGTGCCATAAATATTAGGTGGGAAAGAGAAAAGACCATTCGTCCCATTCCATCCATAACCATCTAAGTCCTACCCTGTTGCAGACTGCACCCTGTTGACTTATTGCTGTTGTTTTCATGGGAAGATGGCAGGGAGGGATGAGATCAGGTGGGCCAAAGGGAATCTTCATCCAAACTAATCTTGTGATGTGCTGAGATCTTGTGAAGAACTGCGGAAAACCTGCTTTCAAATTAAAACTGAATTGAAGAATTTTCCACAATTCTGCTCGATCTGCAATATTACAACAACACGGTCTCACCTGATGCAATTTCAGGCAAGTGAACCATCGCTGTCTGACATTGTCCAGCAGCCTTTTCTCCGCACAATGACAACATGGAGGAAGAGGGTGGAGGTTTGTGTGGAGTCTAAACACTGACATCTGAAGCTGTTTACAAGGATGTTTACCGATCAGTTTGCTTCCAACACTAACCATTATATCGTAGATGCTTTCCTGGGTATCAAACTTGATCCTTGTTTCTTTATCATCGTCCTTGTTATCTACAATATAAAATAATAATAATAAAATGTAACACAAATAGGTGAATCTCAACCCAACTGTAGCAAATATTACAAACATTGCAAGTTTTTATATAGAAGGGGAAGGGAATAAGTATGTTAATCCTTGCATTTGATACAGCACCTTTCACACTGGGAGGATGTCTCAAAGCAGTTCATAGGATTGATTCTAAAGTTTAGTGATTGTGTATTTGTGGGTAAAGGTGGCAGTCCATTTGCACACAGCAAAGTCCCTCAAATAAATAACCAATTTTATTGGCCAAAAGACCAGGAGAGAGAAACTTCCTTCTCTTTTCAAATAATGCAACTGGATCTTTAATGTCCACCTGAACAGTCAGATGGGATCTTAGTTAACGTCTCATCTGAAGGATAGCACCTGCAACAATGCAGCACTCTCCAGCACTATAATGGAGTGTCAGATTAGACTATATGGGTTTCAAGTTCTGATGTGGGGCTTGAACCTGTGCTTGAACCTGCAACCTTGTGACTCAGAGGCGAGAGTCTTTCACATGGAGAACGTCGCAAAACACTTCACAGAATTTGCTTTAATGATTAGTGAGCCAGGCTGACACTGAATAAAGGGGTATGGGAGAGCGTTTTAGGATAGGGTGACCATATTTTCTAAACCATATTTGGGACACATACAAAAGAAATTAAACTCACCACAATATCTAATGCTGACAGTTACTGGAGAAGCTTGCGAGATTAATGCTGTTTTGTTCAGTTTGTTGGTGAACTCACGGCAAATTTGGCCGGGAACACAAGTACCTGATCTGGGGACTTTAAGGAGGGTTGGAGATTCGTGTGGAGTATAAACACTGACATGGACTAGTTAGGCCAAAAGGCCTGTTTGGGTTCAGTAACGTGTGTAATTCTATGTGAGAAGTCATTCGGCTATCCTGTCGGTGCCATTCCACCTGTTTCTCTTAATCTTCACTTTTTAATACTCCCACTTCCCAGCTCTCTCCCCATTTCCTTTCATGTTTTTCCTGATCAACTGTTTATCTCAGTCCCTTTTGAACAATTTTCTTGAACCGGCCTCAATAGACACTTTTGGTAAATTACCAAGTCTCCTTCCAACCTCCTCTAATATTTCTGCTAACAATGCAGAATGTGCCCTTGTCATCAAATCAGGAAATCATTATTAGCTATCTACCCTGTCATGACTCTAGAATACAATGTTCCAGCTGAGATCTAACCAATATTCTAATCTAACCATTTCAAACATCAATTGCCTATGTTTAATTACTTTATAAATCCCAGATTCCATTTGCCTTATTGACAGAAATGTTCTGTACCTGCTTCCCCTTTAACTGATGTATGTATTTTTATTCCAGATCTCTGGCTCCTCCATTTTTCATTCGTTGTTTTGACTTCAGGCTATATGTCTAACTCCCTGTTTTTCCTGAAATCTATAGCTCACATTTATCAGCATATCTGCCACTTGTCCGATCATTTCTCTAGCTTATCAGCATCCTCCTGAAATATACAATCATTTCACAATTTGCCAATCCTCCTCATTTATTATCCTCTAAAACCTCAATGAGTCAAACACAAACACAATGACTGCTGACTCTCCCTGATCAGTTTAATTTTCTCCAGATTCTTAAATTTTTTTCTTTATAATTGACTCCAACCCTTTTCTTCCAATGATGTCTCATCAGCCCGAGCTGTCTCATCATTTTTTTTGAATAACGGTGTAACATTTCCCACCCGCCATCCTTGAAATGCTTCCTGTGTTAAACATTTTTGAACATTTTTAGCCATAGCGCTCATAATTTGGATGCTAACCTTCCTCAGCTCTCTGAAGTGAAATGCATCTGAACCCGGTGTGTGATCCACTTACATCAACCTTATTGATATCTATATTGAAACAGTTGTTCCTTCACATCTGTCTGCTCTCCCAGAACGAACCTTCCCTGTCTACTGTAAATACACAACCAAAGCACGTATTTAAGATGTCAACCATTGCCCTGCTATCCACAATACTTTGTCTCTATAGCATGAGTGGGTCACACTTTTCATGGTTATCCTCTTTATTTAAGTGTCTATAGAAAACCTTTTCGTTTTTTTCAAATTCATCTCCATTTCATAGTGTCCTATACTTTATTTGTTGCCAGTCAGTGCCCCGCTTGGTGTGACTGTCACCATAAAGACATTTACTGAGCAAGTCATGCAACAAATCATTTTCACAAACAACAATTCTGTTAAAATGAAGCAAAGACATTTCCTCATCTCAAGAGTTTTCCTGCAATAAAAAACAAATCACTGCACTGTGCGTGTAGGAGTGGTGCATGGTCAGTGTGGACCACAGGAATGATAATCCTGGGCTGGATCTCGTGTGAGGCGAGAGCAAGGATGTGGGAAGCAAGTGTGCAGAGCATATGCTCTCTCTAGCAGTGCCTCCTGGTTCAATTGTAAGTTCAGCTCACCACTGTCACCATCATCATCGTCATCAGCATCATCGTCATCATCATCAAAATCCACGTCATTATCCTCCGGGTTACATTTATCCTTTTTCGGTGAATTCTTCGGAACTTTAGCATATTTTTTTTCCACCCAACCTCTGCTACGCAGACAAGCCCGGATCACAGGGTAGCGGCCATGGACACTGAAAGTTTTTTTGAGCTAAGCAATAAGAATGTTGTTAATTATATGTTTTTATTAGAGCGACTGCAATCTGTAATCTGCCATTCACTGTAAAATAGGTGATTTGATACAGCAACGCTCAAACTCAGACGAGAACCCAATTACGCACAGCAACACGCACACACAGACAGGATACCTGTAACACAGGTAACCTCTCTCAGACGTGTAAAGCAATGTGCTAACACAGATAGAAACCCGGTCACTGACAGAAACACGCACACACAAATATGAACGCAGCCAGGAACCCGGAAACGTAGAGTTCAGAACCCAGACACACACACAGGCAAACACCCAAACACACACAGGCAAACATGCAGACACAAGCACACACACAGACAACAAAGACACAATGAGGAACCCAGACACATGCACACACAGCTAAGAACCAAGACACACACAGCCAGGAACCCAGACATACACACACAGCCAGGAACATAAACACGGGCACACAGCCAGAAACACAGACACACACACTGCCAGGAACCCAGACATACACACACAGCCAGGAACCTAAACACGGGCACACAGCCAGGAACCCAGACACACACTGCCAGGAACCCACAAACACACACACACAGCCAGAAACCCAGACACACGCACACACACAGGCAGGAATCCAGTCACACACACACACACACACATATAGCCAAGAACCAAGATATACACATACAACCAGAAAACCAAATACACCCACACAGCCAGGAACCCAGACACACACATACACACAGCCAGGAACCCAGACACACACGTACACATAGCCAGGAACTCAGACATGCAGCGAAGGACAGAGACACACAGCCTGGAACCAAGGTGCACAAACACAGCCCGGAACACAGGCGTGCACACACAGCCCAGAACGTTGACACACACACACACACAGCCAGGAACTCAGACACACACACACACCGCCAGGAACCCAGACACACATACACACAGCCAGGAAACCAGAGACACACACAGCCAGGAACCCAGAAACAAACACAGACAACCAGGAAGCCAGACATGGATACAGCCAGGAACCCAACACACATACAGCCAGAAACCCAGACATACACACACACAGCCAACAACCCAGACACACACACAGCAAGGAACACACATACACAGCCAGAAACCCAGACACACACACACACAGACAGGAAATCAAATACACACACACACAGGAACCCAGGCACACACAAACAGCCAGGAACCCAGACAGACATACAGCAAGGAAACCAGAAACACACACGCAGGCAGGAACCCAGACACACACACACAGCCAGGAACCCAGACACACACACACAGCCAGGAACCCAGACACACACACACAGCCAGGAACCCAGACACACACACACAGCCAGGAACCCAGACACACACACACAGCCAGGAACCCAGACAGACATACAGCAAGGAAACCAGAAACACACACACAGCCAGGAACCCAGACACACACACACAGCCAGGAACCCAGACAGACATACAGCAAGGAAACCAGAAACACACACGCAGGCAGGAACCCAGACACACACACACAGCCAGGAACCCAGACACACACACACAGCCAGGAACCCAGACACACACACACAGCCAGGAACCCAGACACACACACACAGCCAGGAACCCAGACACACACACACAGCCAGGAACCCAGACACACACACACAGCCAGGAACCCAGACACACACACACAGCCAGGAACCCAGACACACACACACAGCCAGGAACCCAGACAGACACACACAGCCAGGAACCCCCCCAGATACACAGCCAGGAACCCACACAAACATACACAGCCAGGAACCCACACAAACATACACAGCCAGGAACCCACACAAACATACACAGCCAGGAACCCACACAAACATACACAGCCAGGAACCCACACAAACATACACAGCCAGGAACCCACACAAACATACACAGCCAGGAACCCACACAAACATACACAGCCAGGAACCCACACAAACATATACAGCCAGGAACCTAGACACACACACAAAGCCAGGAAACCATACACATACACAATCGGGAACCCAGACAAACACACACATAGTCAGGAACCCAGACACACACGTACACACAGCCAGGAACTCAGAAGGACAGAGACACAAAGCCCGGAACACAGGCGTGCACACACAGCCCAGAACGCAAACACACACAGCCAGAAACCCAGACACACATACATACAGCCAGGAACCCAGAAACAAACACAGCCAGGAACCCAGGCACACACAGTCAGGAAACCAGACACAAACACACACACACACACAGCCAGGAACCCAGGCACACACAGTCAGGAAACCAGACACACACGCAGAGTCAGGAACCCAGACACACACAAACAGAGCCCGGAACCCAGGCACACACAGTCAGGAAACCAGACACAAACACACACACACACACAGCCAGGAACCCAGACACACACAGTCAGGAAACCAGACACAAACACACACACACACACAGCCAGGAACCCAGACACACACGCAGAGTCAGGAACCCAGACACACACAAACAGAGCCCGGAACCCAGACAAGCACACACACAGCCAGTAGCTAAGGCACACACATACAGTCAGGAACACAAATACACACAAACTGCCAGGAACCCAGATACTGGCACACAGCCAGGAACACAGACACACACACACACACACAACAACAACAACAAGATTGCATTTATAGAGCGCCTTTCACGTCGGGAGGACGTCCCAAGGCACTGGACAGTTGGGTCAGGACCCGAACAGGGGGGAAATGGTCAGGGTGAGGGGAAGGAAGGGAGGGAGTGAGGAGGGGGTAGAGATTCGAGAGGGGAGCTGAAGGCACCGTCAAAGAGAAAGGTCTTGAGACCGGCCTTGAAGGAGGAAAGGGAGGAAGCGGCGAAGGCACTGGGGGATGGAGTTCCAGAGCCTCGGGGCTGAGAGGCTGAAGGTCCGGCCACCGATGGTAGGGCGGTTGGGGCGGGGGATGTGGAGCAGACCGGAGCCAGAGGAACGGAGGGTACGGGCAGGTAGGTAGGGGGATAGTAGGTCGGAGAGGTAGGAGGGAGCGAGGCCGTGAATGGCCTTGTAGGTGAGGATGAGGATCTTGAATTCGATCCTCTGGGGGATGGGGAGCCAGTGGAGGTGAGCGAGGGTGGGTGTGATGTGGTCCCGAAGCCTGGTGCGGGACAGTACACGAGCTGCAGAGTTCTGAATGACCTGCAGTGTGGAGGGAGGTGCCGGGAAGGCCGGTGAGGAGAGAGTTCCCATAGTCCAGCCTTGAGGTGATAAAGGTGTGGACCAGAGTTTCAGCAGCGTGAGGGGTGAGGTAGTGCCGTAGTCTGGCGATGTTTCGGAGGTGATGGAAGGCGGTGCCAGTTGTGGCGCAGATATGAGGGAGAAAGGACAGCTCAGGGTCGAACAGAACACCGAGGTTCCTGATGGCTTTGAGAGGTGGAGAGTGCAGCCTTGGATGCTGATGCTGTCAGCGCCTGAGGTGCGGAGGCGCTGACGTGAGCCAATCAGGAGGGCCTCAGTTTTGCGCACGTTGAGCTGAAGAAAGTTGTCTCTCGTCCAGGACTCGATGTCGGACAGACAGCTGTCAGGACATCGGTGGTCGTGGAGTTGAGGGTAGAGGAGGAAAGGTAGAGTTGGGTGTCATCCGCATACATGTGGAAGTTAACCCCATGTCTGCGGATGATGTCACCGAGGGGGAGATAAAAGAGGGTGAAGAGGAGGGGACCGAGGACAGAGCCCTGAGGGACACCGCACGAGACTGCGGGGGCTGGAGGAAAAGCCGTTTGTGGAAACAAAATGGAGACGGTGGGAGAGGTACGACCTAAACCACTCAAGGACAGGGCCTTGAAGGTTGAGGTGGGAGGACAAGTGGTGGAATAGGATAGAGCGGTCGACCGTATCGAATGCGGCCGATAGGTCGAGGAGGACGAGGAGGCAGAGGGAGCCCTGGTCGCAGATGGTCAAGACGTCAGTGACTTTGACCAGGGCAGTTTCTGTGCTATGAGCAGCACGGAAACCCGACTGAAGGGGTTTGAAAAGTGAGTGAGTGGAGAGGAAAGAGTGCAGCTGGGAGGCGACAACTCTTTCGAGAACCTTGGACAGGAAGGGGAGGTTGGAGATGGGCCGGTAGCTTGATAGCTGCGACGCATCAAGGGAGGGTTTTTTCAAGGTGGGAGTGATGGTGGCAGTTTTTAGGGGAATGGGAACAGAGCCAGAGGAGAGGGACAGGTTGACGATGTCTGTGATATGTGGGGCAAAGAGGTGGAGCTGGGAGATAAGGAGTGGAGTGGGGATGGGGTCCAGGGAGCAGGTGGTGGGTTTCAAGGACAGGATGAGTTTGGTGACAGAAGGTGGGGAAACGGGTTCGAAGGTGTGTAGGGGAGGATGGGTAGGAGTCAGTGTGGGAGGGAAGAGGTGGGTGGAATTTGGAGGGGCAGTGACCGCAGAACGGATTCCCTTGATTTTGGATTCAAGGACGTCCAGCATCTCCCGCAGTGAAGGTTGGAGGAGATGACCTGTGCGGGGTGGCGGGGGGAACGGAGGAGTCGGGATGTGGTGGAGAACAGAAGCCTGGGGTTGTTCTTCGCCTCCAGGATTAGAGTAGAAGGACGACTTGACCGAGGCTATTGTGGAACGGTAGATTTTGAGGAGGTCCAGCCAGGTTTGCCGGTGGACCGTTAGGCGAGATTTGAGGCAGGTGTGTTCAGCGGACCTGACACAGGAACATAGACACACACACACAGGCAGAAACCCAGACACACACAAACAGAACCTGGAATCCAGATAAGCACACACACAGTCAGTAACTAAGACACACATACACATACAGTCAGGAACCCAGACATACACACACACAGAAAGTAACTATAATAATAATCCTTGCATTTATATAGCGCTTTTCACGTCGGGAGGACGTCCCAATGCGCTTCACAAAACACACTGTAAAGTGAATTGACTATATTTGTGGGTGAACGCGGCAGCCAATTGCGCACAGCAATGTCCC